GCAAGAGCGAGACGAGAACACCGGCATGTACATGGTTCAGCCCAAGTTCAACTCTGACTCTTCTCGTCGTGTCGACGTCGTTCATATTGACAGTCTCGTGCGGGCAGCTCACCTTATTCCTCACTTCGGTACAGGCCACGTCCCTGAGGAGATGCATTGTTACGACTCATACGACTCGTACGATAGCTTCTATCTCAACAGATTTGTCGATCATCACGCATTTGAGATTGCTTAGGTAGTCATAATGTAGTACACGGTGGCTATGAATCACTGATTGGAATGTCTTATACGAATCCGAGTGAACTTAAACGCCTTGTGGGCCTTTCACCTCTTATTCGCTCAGGTCGAACTTGGAAATGTCTCCTGCACTTAGTCAATTTCCTCATAAGGTGCTCGTTCGACCGGGGGTCAATATAAGCGTCGGCAAGGAGTCGCCAAGTCTGGACTCGGTAGTTAAGAAGCCGACACAATTCCTGATGTGGGTCTACGCGGCAACAGGCTGCGACATCTGCTGATGGAAGTTCCATCGAACTCGAGCAAGCAATCAATGACGATGAGGATATTGCTTCATTGGACTCCCCTCGAGATGCAAAAGCTTCCGGGTCCGATGACCTTTCGACTCTGGATGACTCTTCGGTTATACTTCCTTGTTCGAGACAGGGGAAAGCGGATGAGGTGTTGGGTCGAATTGCACCGAGGTTTGTGTAGACTGGATGTAGGCAGCCACTGTCTTATGTGGAATTCTACCTCTAAATCACGGCATGTCATTTATTTCTAAGCTACTATAATTTTGTCCTTTCTATCTTAGTCTAACGATAGGATTATAGTGTGACTGCCTAGTACTAGAAGTCGTCAATCTCTTTACATGAATGGCCAGTACCATGGTCACACAGCGCGTAAGTCTTCTGCGCGCTTTTTATATATAGATATAATCATGGTCACGGTGTCTGATGCCTTGTAGTGGTGCACTCGTTCAAATTTGGTTGTATACTCCACAAAATAACCACGGAGAATTCCTCTAGCCTCGCCATACCTAATAATTTTCACCATATTTTTATCATTCCTCCGATCCCGATGACTAACCACCAAAACTGTTGGAAAACGAGTCAAATGTAAAGACAAGTGGACTGCAGTGTTCGTGACTGAAGGAATGTATGAACACCATAGAGACATCAAGGGAAGATTTCAGGCTCTTTTACTTCTGTTACCCGGAGGAGTTCGTGTTTCCTTGTTTTGTGTTTTTATTTTTGCTCAGGGATAAATAGCGTGGCTACCAACGTCATCTCGCAGGTTGTCAGCCAAAGGTCAAATCCTTACAGACCGGTCGGGTTGGCGGACTTGAACACGAAGCTTTGGTTTTACCTAATGTCCGAATACATATAAATAGTCGTCCAGAGTCGATCTCATTGGGATAATAGTAAGATAAATTATAATACGATGTCCATGTCATCCACGACAGAAGAAAGATGTGGCATTTTGAGTTATGATGCCCAGTTGAAGCGCAGAGCAACGTTTCCCCTCGCTACCCACTGGGGTAATACATATCAATATGAATGCGCGTTCCAGAAGTGTACAAGATCGCTCACAATATTGGATTATGGGAAACCTCGCTGGTAGGTCCTGAGAAAAATTCCAACGTATCAACCTCTGTGATATTGGATGCGCCTCCTCCGTGCTGATTCGCATCGTATTCTCGGATGCTCAGCATCATCAGCGGTCCAAGGACAGAAAGCTGAAATCCGGTGCCCAAACCAACAAAGATGGTATCAAAATCGAGCGTGAACGCGAAATTGGTGAAAGGCTTCATGGTGGACTTTGATTAAGGACATCTGGGAATTGAGGCAAGATATCGGAAACTACGCACCACTATATTCGGAAGAAGAGAGATTAAACCAAGGGACAGGCTCAGGAAAGCCCTGCCATACGCGTTAGCCTAGGTTTCTCGAGCGTTCAAATATAGACAAAGCATACACAAGAAAATAGAGAACATTGTCCCTGACTACTAGTTCTTTCAACGTCTTAACCGTCCCTTGTAAGGGTCTGTTCCGTAGTTGATGCCTGACAAGGCAGAGGAGCGACATTAAGAACAACACCAATTCATACAGCGCCAGAGAAGCATAAGCCGCGATCTGATACCAGAGCTTTGGGTACGGTAACGCGGACGCGCACCATCTTCCTTCAGGCGGGGTGGGAATATCTTGCACTGGAAAAGGCACTATCTTAGATGACACATGCACGGCGAATATTGCATTTCGTACCTGAGGTAGCAAGAGGGAGAAGCGCCATATAGCTCAGAACCACATTTGTGACCTGAACAATCACGAAGAGAGACCCTAAGAAAACCAGTACCAATCTTGATTGTCCATAGAGTGCGTGGATGCGAAGCCCCATCATTGCTAATGTGTAAAAGCCTTTAGCTACACGTTCCAAATTTATTATCGCAGTTGTTACCATTCAAAATGAAGAAAAGGACAAGATTGAGGATTAGGTATCCCATCACAGCAAGCACAGAACCTATGCTTGATCAGTGAATGAGTATGACATAGGGAGAAAACCGCGAACATCTAAACCACAGTTGGCTGGAATAGGGTTTGCGTGAAAAACAATAGCTTACACCTGAGAACAATTCACTCATCAGTGTAAGCTATCAAGTCTATGTGATACTGACTTCAAAGGTATTGGTGTTTGCAGGGACACCTGATGCAATATGTTTATCTAGGACTCATTTTATTATACTGAAAAGATCGACTTACCTGAACTGTTATATAGGCAAGAAGTCTAAACATTACAATTCATGCTAGAAAGGGATCGCAGTCACTTACACGCTCAAGAATATACCACCATATCGCAGCTTTCCAGTAATGTGCGACAGGCCGTAAGAATAAGTGCGTCCAAGATTAAGCTATAGATGGCTCACTAGAGCATAAAAGACCCTAGACATTCTCGAGCACCTTCCAATCTATGTCAAAAGATAGGCCGATGATTTTCCTGCAGCTTGCAACAAGGCTTACCCAGATCAAGTTAATCTATATTCCAAAGGCGAACATTTGTCTGGAGCCCAGAAAGTCGTAAAGAACGGCCTACCTCTCGGTCAATGTTGATGACTAGGGACGAGGTGGTTACTGATAAGCGCAGAGCGTTCTTTGCTGCACTGCACTTACTCCAATCATACACTGCCAAAAAGGCCTTCAAAACTGAACAACAACGAAGCATGAGCTTGCGCGGACAAACGTCGAGCAATGACGAACTTACCGGAAATATAATCCTGCGCCTGAAACGCATAGTACACTTCAAGTTGGACTGAGAGTGGCATACTGGAGACGGTCGTGATGTAAGAGAGGTCACTATGAGATGCTGACCGTTACCTCAAGCACTTTATACACTCGACGCTGTACGGCTGCAGCCAAGACCGTCTCATTAGCAGTGTCTGAAGATCAGTCCGGCAACGCCGGTGGCAGCTGTTTAGATAAAAATGCGCCTCATGAAGCGGTGGTGTAATATTAAACCTGCAGCAGCCGACGCACCGATATGCAGACATGTCGGCAATTTTCGGTCCCAAGACGGAGAAATAGTGCGTCCTGAGAGTGAGGAGACGGAGTGGAGCCAGGAAAGCTATGAAGTAAAACGGACGGTCTAGAGACCGGTCTACGAAAGTCAAACAGGCGGTGTCTGCCGCCCCTGAAAAAAGGTCATTCGCGTACTCCTAGCTTGACGGGACTAGTGTTTAACGTAAGATTGCGTTGATCATCCACGCAGATCGGATGACGGTCCACGAACATGCCCGTCGATAGGTACGACCCGATTCGCTTCAAGGCACTTTGTAACATGCGGCAGGTGCGCCAAGTAACTACTTTAAGGTCACCACAGCCTCTGCGCAAGCGCAGTGCGACCGCTCTGCATCATGATTGAATCAGAACCAGGCATGCTAGACTAATCATTAATGCGACTCATTTACCGCCATAGATAAGGAAATAGAAATGTGAACACCAGGAAATCCGGGAACATCGGCTGGTGAATGGTCCCCAACGGCCGTTATTGGCTACTGAAGAATGGCGAAAGAAGAGTAGTGCTTTAGTGGGTTTCAAACGTTAAAACGTTGAAAGCGCCCACGGGAACTTGAATGCCACCGCATGGCATAGCTACTCAGTTTGAATGATTCGGAATAGGAAGACGCCACGCTGAGGCTAACATGTCTCGACCTTAGATGCGTCAAGATCGTCCCCTGTCGTCGCAGAAACTTGGTGACCTGCTTCACGTGTTTGTCTCACGTTAGACAGCACGATGAAGCAGAGAATATTCACGATGAACTTGTAGATTTGCGGTGAGAGTTATCACGCGTGTAGTAATATGATGGTCGGTATCACGCGTGTAGTAATATGATGGTCGGACATGTGGAGAAGGTGCCGGTGAAGGCTTGCATTGGTCGGGTTATGCTAGTCTTGCAGACCTTGACACGTGCTTGCCTAAGGACTACAGCGCTGTAACGTATCAAATGCTAAACACTGAATCTTGTTCGAAGTTTCGCATGTGCACAAGGGGGTAACGATGTTGAGCCAGATCATGGATACTCTTGATGGGGTTCCCAGCGCGCCTCGCACGAAAATAGAGATGCTAAGGAGAAACGGGCAACCGCCCGTCTTCTCTACATATCGATAAAACAACTTCAGCCGAAGCGAGATCATCCTGATATTCTCAAAGGTAAATAAACGAAAGGAGTACAATGCTAGCCGCCGCTCAAGCGCGTAACCCTACTTCCCTCCCTTCTTACCCTTCCGCTCTTTTCGCTTGCGGCCAATAATCGACGCGATGTTTGGATCTGTCTTCTCCTTCCCATCGGCTTTCGGTTTCTTACCGGGGCTAGCGTGCTCGCTCGCGCCCGACATGCGCCTCTTCTTGGGCGGCCGCTCCTTGCCCTCATCTCTATCTTCCTTCTTCGTCTTCTTGTCGTGCTTGCCAGCCGCCCTGTGCTGGGGAGGGCCGCGCCTCTCTCGGGATCCACCATGACCAGCGCCGGTGCCCGATGACTGGCCACCGCCACCGCCCCGCGAGTCTTGCTCTCGCACCGCACGCCTCTTGACGACCTGCACGTTCTCGATCGAGAACTCGACGATGAGTGTGTTCTTCCCGTCCTTGCCCTCCTTGCCAGCCTCGAGCTCGTGCTCAATGCGCTCCAACTCGTCCTTCAGGCGCTTCAGCCTCGCGTCAGCCTCGTCCTTCTTCCCCTCGTCTTCCCCATCCTCACCACTTTTCTCTCCCTTCTTCTTCCCGCCCTTCCCAGAGGCGGCGTCGGGGGCCTTGCCCTTGAGCCCAGCGGTCCCCAGCTTTATGATGCCCCTCAGCTCGTCCGCCCAGAATCGCCGCGCCAGCACACCGACGGCTGGGTTATTGTTCGCCCACCGCAAGACACGCAGCGCATCCGCGTGCGTCCGCATCTCGACGAAGCCGTACCCTCTACTCCGCAGGCGTCCCGTCACAGCATCGACGCGCTCCGCCTGACGCACGATCTTGGACTGCTTCACAGGGCCGTCCTTGAGAAACTTGGCTTTGGATTTCCGAAGGACCTTTTTCTTGCCGTCGCCGCCTTCGTCGCCGGACGCGCCTTCCTCCGGCTTGACACCCGCAGCCGCATCCTCTCCCTCGCCTCCGAACCCGGCGTCGCCCTCCCGCACCTCCTTCTCGTCTTCGTTCAGCCCTTCCCGGTGGCCGGCCTTCACCTCCTTCTCGAACGTGCGCATCGCGTGCACCGCCAGCCGACGCAGACCCCGCTCGGAGACGTACAGCGGGATCTGGCGCACGCTGAGCCGCGTGCGCGAGACGTACAGCGCCGGGTTCGAGCGCAGCAGCACACGGCGTGCGTCGAACGACTTTGTGCGTTTATCGACTTCGGCGGGGGTGAGAGACGATGCGGCGGGCATGTTTGGCAGGATCACTGCATATGTGAGCAGGTGGAGCAGAAATTATGAGCATATATGCATAAAGAGCAAAGGTTGGGGGAGGGAAACGCACCGCCCTCGCGGAGGAGGTACATGTTCCTCTTGTCCGCTTTCTCCCTGGCACGTACGCCATCAGCAGCGAGCTTCGCGGCCGACTCGCGCGTCACGGCGCGCACGACGTCGAGCGTGCGGCTGTGCAGGACGAGGCCTCTCGTAAGCGGCGCAGACGGGTCGGCCGTGAGGATTGACGGGAGAACACGGTGGTCTCTCTTGGCATTGGGGTTCGGCTGTCGAGAAACGGTGGAAGCATGAATAAAGGTGTTGTCGAGAAAGAAGCTGGTGGAAAGCAGTCGGAAAGCGAGTGCGCACCTGTTTGTCATCCGTCCCCTCCGTCTCCTTCCGAATCGCATCTGCACGCTCCAAGACCGCATCGGCGTCCTCGCGGTTCCAGAAACACGCGAAGCCCGTCCCGCGCGAGCGGCCGGTCGCGGTGTCGACGGTGATGCGTGCGTAGCGCAGGGGACCGAAGGCGCGGAATCTGTGTGGTATCAAGAGAGCGGATGAGATCGGGAGCGTTAGCAAGCAGTCGGACAGGGCCAGGATAGAAGTATGGGAGCATGGAACGAAGGGGGACCACGTACAGTGTACGCAGCTCGTCTTCGGTCGCCTCGAACGGGATGTTACGCACGAACAGTGTCGTGCCAACGTCCGTCGAGGGGAGCTGTGGTCGGCTCTGCTGGGCGCCTCCATCTGAGCGGGCGTCTTCGTCGTCTTCATCCTCGCCGTCCTCGTCCTCATCTTCCTCATCCTCGGAACCAGAGTGTCCATCATGCACGCCCAGCTCGTCGTCTTCGTCCTCCTCCACATCCTCTCCATCAGAGTCCGACTCGGATCCGGACGAGCCAGACTCGCTGCCGCTGGCCGCTGGCTCCATCTCGACGTCTCCTTGTTCCTCCGCGTTGACCTCCAAGCGCGCCTTCTCCTCCTCCCATCGCCCCTTTGACAACGCCCAATCCACAGCGATAGTCCGTTCGCCCGGCTTTCCTTTCCCCCCTTCTTCCTCCTTCTCGTCCACGTCCATCGCATCTTTCTCACCCTCCTCCTCCTTAACCTCCTCTACCCCACCCTCAGCGCCCTCCTCTTTCTTCACGCCTACCACCCCTCGCTTGCGCTTCTCCTCCTCCCTTCTATCTTTCTTGCGCATCTGCTTGCCCCGCGCGAGGTCCTGCGCGAGCCCGGCGCGCACACGCGTCCCATTGAGCGCGTCGAGTGCTTTTTGCGCGTCCGGGCGGGAGAGCATCCACACGAAGGCGAAGCCTTTTGAGCGGGCCGATTTTGCTGGAGCCGGTGCTGACGGGAACGCTTCATCTTGCTGCTCTTGCTCCTCCTTGACAGACTCGTCGTCGTTATCGCCGTCAGATTCGTGAGCGTCATCTTCAGAGTCATCGGAGCTGTCGTCGGATGCTTCTTTTGGTTTTGCCTTCGTGCGCGATTTCGTTGGCGAGGATGTCGATGGGGAAGGGGCTGCGAGCGGGAGGTCGATGGAATGTATAGGTCCGTAGGGGAGGAAGAGCGCGCGGAGGTCCTGCGTTGAGATGTCGAATGGCAGATTGCGCACGATAAGGCGGGATGCGCGCGAAGGTGCTGGAGTTGGAGCCGATGGTTCTGCGTCCCCCGGCGTTAGTTGGTACGCTATAGCTAGATATACGAGAAACGTACTTTTTGATGAGGAGGAGGAAACAGCCGGCTGTGCCGTTGTGCTCACAGTATCGAGCCGCTTCTTGAGGACGACGGAGAGCAATGCGCCCTTGTAAATGTGGGCGTGCAGTTTGTTTACTGCGTCTTGGGCGTATGCTGGTGAGTCGAAGAGGACGTGTGCTGAGGATGCCGACCGCGACAATGAATACACTGGTGTGAATAGGGAGAAAGTTGACGTACCTGACGAGGCATCCTCGCTCCCGTCGTCCCGAGTAAGCGGAAAGCGCGGGTTCTCCGCGCCGGGGTACTTGCGTAGCTTCTTCCAGAGCGTCTTGCTATCGAGTCCTGCAGGCAGGCCAGAGATGACAATCGTCCGGATGGCGTCCGAGTCTTTGGGCTTCTGTGCATACGGTGTTTTTTGAGGTCGGGGTTTGGAGGATGAAGGTTGGGGAGCAGCAGAGACGGAGGCCTTGGGCTTTTCCTTCGGCTGATAGTGTAGCAAAACATTAGTTGCGTTCCAACGACTGGCACAAGGGTATATGATCGGGATATTTGAGAGATAAACATACCTTCTTATCTGCCCATGTAACCCTCAGCTTTCGCCCATCCAGCACAATGCCCTCTTCGTTTACCGAGTCAAGCGCGACTTGTGCTCCCTCGCGCGCTGAGAAGGCGACATAGCCTACGCCCTTTGAGACGCCAGTGCCTTGTTCGGTGACAACAAACGCAGAACGGACGGGAGCAAGGTCGGAGAAGAGCGTCTGCAGGTCTGTCGATGTTGCGGTGTATGGCAAGTTGGAGACAAAGAGGGTCGAGCTATGTCATTTCGGTTATGTGCCTGACGATATAACGGCTAGGTTGCCGCTCACCCATGCTCGCTTTTAGGTTCCGTAGAAGGCTGGGCGTCATCTCCAGTTGCTCGCTCCTTGCGTTTTCCAAGCAATGTTTCTGACATGATCTTGGTCCAATGCTGAACTTTTTTCGGCGGCGATTGCGATGGTCTTGCCGGATCGGGGTGGCGGTGTTTGCCCCTGTTAGACCCGGAAGCCCTTGCCAAACTCGGCCAAATACTGTGCCGGAAGATGCGGCCCGGAGTCGTCCTTGCCCTTCTCCTACGATGGTCACGATGGTCGTGAGTTGCTGCAGAGGATTCGTCCGACCCAGGTCTCATGGCCTGGAGAACACAATAATGTCACTTTATATTGACAAAACTCTCTTCCCAAGCTGAGCGAATCGTGTCCGCTATGCACCTTCCTGTTGTCCTCTCGCTCCTCTCCACTCTCCCTCTGTCGTCAGCGCTGATCCATTCTCCACCAAAGATAGACAGGCAGACAATTGTATCATCCTTCAACCCTACCCGGAACGCCTCCTCCCCGTCTACACCCCTCCAGGTCGGCAACGGCAACTTCGCCTTTGGAGCCGACATCACAGGTCTGCAGACCTTCCTCCCCTGGGCCATCCTCTCTTCGTGGGCATGGAAGAACGACACGCTTCCTCCAGGGCGCACTCTTGAAGAAGCCGCAGCATACACGGGCAAACAGTGGTGGAACCATGACCGGCTTGTCACGTACAAGTTCGGCGGAGACGATCCCGAGCTCGAGCAGTGGCTCATCGCCAATCCGAATCGCGTCAACCTCGGACGCGTGGGGCTCGTCTTTTTTGGTGAGGACGGAATGGCGGAGAACGTGACGGAGGTCGATATGCAAGAGAAAACCCAGGTACTCGACCTGTGGAGCGGCACGCTCACGAGCACATTCATCTGGAACGGTGCGAACGTCACTGTACGCACGTCCGCTGGCCAAGATATGTCTGTGATTGGGGTCAGCATCGATTCGTCACTTTTCGAGCGAGGCCAGCTGGGCGTATTCCTCGACTTCCCTTGGTGCGACGGCTCGCAGAAATTCGAGGCTCCGTTCGTCGGGTACTTCAATATGACGGTCATGCATACCACCAATCTGACCGTTCTTGGTGAAGGCGAAGGTGTCCAGGCCCAGATTGAACACACAATGGTGAACAACACGTTCTTCGCCTCAGTGGGTGGAGACGCCTTCAGCATCACACGCGACAGTCCCGACGCACATAGGTATACACTTCGCCCTTCGGCATTACAATCATCTCCCTTTTCCTTCACGGTTGGATATTCGTTATCGGGAAACGACTCGCTGCCAAGCGCAGAGACAATATTTGCCGATTCAGCGGACGTATGGGATGCTTATTGGGAGCAAGGAGGGTTCGTGGACCTCACCAGCACACAGGACAGCAGAGCACAGGAGCTGCAGAGACGGATCATCCTTTCGCGGTACTTGATGCGAGTGAACGAGGCAGGCGACTATCCATCGCAGGAGGTACACTTCCACCACAATTGTTTACTCGTGCATAATGCATATACTGATCGTCTTCTCCCTGTAGTCTGGGCTCGTCAACAACGGCTGGGTAAGCTCGCCACCCCACCACCACTCCCCTTCTTACCGTCCTCACTCACTATAGTACGGCAAATTCCACCTCGAGATGTACTTCTGGCACAGCTTACACTGGACCCTCTGGTCCAACACCGACGACCTCCTCTCCCGATCCGCCCCAGAAACCTACATCCGCTTCCTCTCCACCTCCCTCGCACGCGCGCAGGTGCAGCAAGGCTGGCCAGCCGGAGGCGCACGGTGGGGCAAGATGTCCTCGCCCTCGGGCTCATCCGCGCCAGGCGAGATCAACGAGCTTCTCATCTGGCAGCAACCGCACCCGCTCGTGTTCGCGGAATACTTCTACCGCGCCGCCTCCGCGTCACCCTCACCTGTGACAGCGCAGCAGCAGATCCTGCAGGACTGGCTCCCCGTCGTGAACGCGACTGCCAACTGGATGGCCGACTTCGCGTGGCCCAACGCGTCCACGCACGTCTACGATCTCGGCCCGCCGATGTACACCGTCGCGGAGGACACCGCGCCCAATGGCACCGTAAACCCCGCATTCGAGCTCGCGTACTGGCGCTTCGGCCTGGACCTCGCGTCAGCGTGGTTGGAGCGCCTCGGTGAGCTTGCTCCCGAGCTGTGGACCGCGGTGCAGGACGGGCTGGCAGAGTACCCGGTAGACGAGGAAGACGGGTTGTACGCGGTGTACGAAGGCATTCCGGATGACTTCTGGACGAATCCGATGTTTATCAATGATCACCCGGCGACGGTGGGCATGTACGGCTGGCTGCCCGCCGTGCAGGGCGTGAACATCTCGCGGGTGAACGAGACGGCGCACATGGTGTGGGAGAGCTGGAACATCACCAATTTGTGGGGGTGCGTCTCTCGTTCTCGTTATCTGCTCCCCCACATTTCGCATCGCCTAATCGCTGATTGTGAATATGCACGCTGACCGACTGCAGGTGGGACTTCCCCCTCCTCGCGCTGAACGCCGCACGCTCGGGCGAAGCATCCGACGCCGTCGACTGGCTCCTGCACCCGCTCTTCCAGTTCGACGACGCGGGCTACCCGATCGGCGGCGTGCGCGTGCCGACGCCGTACTTCCCGGGCTCGGGCGCACTGCTGTACGCCATCGGGCTTATGGCTGGGGGCTGGGACGCAGACGCATATGGTGGGCCTGGAGGTGGGGAAGGTGCAGGGTTCCCGGAGGATTGGGTTGTCAGGGTGGAGGGGATTATGAGGGCGCTGTAGATGTAGCAGACGGAGAAGTGGCGGTACTGCTTGATGTGGTTAAACGATGTGTGTCCAATTCCAGTGAATCTCTTCGTGCGTCCCCTATACGCTATCTTCCCTGATATTGTGCTGTTGGCGTGAAGAAATATGAAGGGGCGTAATTTGGAGAAGCTTTAACAAAATACATTCCATCTTACCACCGTGTGGCTTTGGGCTTTCCGAGTATTATTCTATCACAGTTCCTCTCAACGTAAATTTCGTCTTTCATACTTGGACTGCAAGTGCGTCTGCCTACGCGAAACGTGTATCAATTGCGGTGGCGCTCACTCCTACATATTCGAAGTCCAGACGGCAGAGACTGTAATTTGCCACTCCTCTCCAAGCCAGCGTAATCGCATCTTGATCGCATCCACATACGACCCATCTATGAATCTCCCTGCGCACGCACAATGCACGCATATACGACCCGCACTTCGAGCTGAGACAGCTAGTGTTCAGTCTCAGGGATTTTTGTCTCGTCAGCTTTCCAGTTATGGCAAAAAAGTATGAGGCCGAGTCGAGCTTCCATACTTTTTTACCATGGGATGGGATGCTTGGGGTCCAGATCTTGCCAAGGTAGGTTTACTGCTGCTATCCTCCTCTTCTATCCCTTGTTTTCAGATACGGTGGAGGCGCTCCGTCGATCTCGCCCTTAGAAGATGATGATAGCACCCACGTTCTCTCAACCTCCAGTTAGGCAAACTCTAGAACTCTGGCGCTTGCTGCTGAGTCTGTCCAGTGCCGAGTGTGGCAGAGTGCATTTTTGCCATGCATACATCGTGGGCGTCTAGATACTCTAGCTGTTGCACTGAGACTCTGATTATATCATCTGTCCTTTGAAGCCACCTTTCTATGTCCTCACGATCGCTGTTTAAGACACCGTTCTCCAATGCGTAACCCCCTTCCCTCTCCCTCTTTCCTTACTCGCACGCTCAAGTGCCTAATTTATCGCAGGCTTATCGCATCGGACAACGCCGTGTCTCCACCGAGCTACATATACTACGATAACGACCTCTTATCGTCATCCCGTCTTGTGATCATGAGCGCATATAAGAGGACGTAGGGTAGGAATGCGGCTGGTGCTCCCTATCTCGCTCACAAGGCACGATGGACCTCTCCACCGCCTTTCCAGAGAAAGAGACAAGGCCGAAGGAGACGGACGAGGAGGTGCTGGCGAAGCTGGGGTACAAGCAGGAGCTGAAGCGAAACTTCTCGCCGTTCGAGGTACGCAATTGTTGGTAGCTGATATAGTCTGCCGATAGTTGACTCTTGTACCTCTGTGATTCAAAGATTTTTGGGGTCTCATTTGGCGTCATCGGCGTCGTCCCGTCCGTCGCGTACGTCTTCCGCACAGTATATGCTATCCCGCTGCCTTGTGGCGCTCACCTGAGCCCGCTCTGACAGCTCCGTCCTCTTCAACTCTGTCCCCAACGGCGGCCCCGTCGCGATGGTGTGGGGCGTAAGTCCCGAGCTCGCTTCCTTCGCGCGCATGTACCCTTGATTTACCACGCCAACGACAGTGGATATTCACGTTCCCGTTCATGATGTGCATCGCGCTCGGCATCGCGGAGCTCGCGTCTGCCAATCCGACATCAGGCGGAGTGAGCACCTGTGGCGCACTAAGTACTATCGGGTGGATGGCTGATGGGGAACAACGATTGTAGCTGTATTACTGGACGTACTCGCTCGCGTCGCCAGAGTGCCGCAACTTTCTCTCTTGGATCGTGGGGTGTGAGTTTTCGCGCTGTAGTTAATGTGTGCATACCGTACAAAGCTGACGAGCGTCTGATTGTGCAGATGCGAATACGATAGGGACAAGCACCGCTGTCGGTGAGAGACGGAAGTGCGACCAGCATTTGCGAGCTCTTATATAACATCAACAGCATCGGTGGATTGGGCGTTCGCGGTCCAAGTCACAGCAGCGGCGAGCATGGGCACAAACCAGCGCTACGCGCCGACGTTACCCCAAACATTGTACGACCAGGCATATTTGTACATCGTACTGGACTAAGTCCAGGGCTATTTTCCTTCTAGCGGTGTCTACGTCGCGATCATCCTTCTCCACGGCCTCGTCTGCACCTTCGGCACGAGGATTCTGGCTCGACTTCAGGCGTTGTGGATATTGCTGAACGTAATGTGAGAGATGGGTTTGTGCAGCGACGCTCGTTTCTCACTATGCTGGATACAAGACTTTGCCTCGCTATTATCATCGTGCTCCCCATCACGACGCCGGCAGAGTACAGAAACACGGCCGCGCATGTGTTTGGCAACTTTACAAACGGTGTGTCCGTATCTTTGCGAATGGTCACCACTTACGAGCGGACTCAGAGAGCGGTTGGCCCGCGGGGTTCGCATTTATACTGAGCTTCTTGGCTCCGCTGTGGACAGTCGGTGAGTCATAAAAAGTCTCAGTGTATCGGGCAGCACTGAGCGGTTCACATCCAGGTGGATACGACTCGAGCGTTCACATGAGCGAGGAAGCAGCCAACGCGACCTCCGCCGTGCCGTGGGCGACCGTATGGTCCGTCATCTCTGGCACCCTCCTCGGCTGGGGTGCGCACCTCCCTCCACACGCGAAAATACCCTCTCAGCGCTAACACACATCCCCCCCACCCAGCGATCAACATCGTCCTCGCATTCTACATGGGCCCCTCGCTCTCCGCCGTGCTCGACACGCCCATCGGCCAGCCCATGGCGCAGATCTTCTACACCAGCATCGGCCCCACCGGCGCGCTCGCGCTCTGGAGCACCATCATCGTCGCGCAGTTCATGATGGGCTGCAACGTCCTGCTCGTCGGCTCGCGGCAGGCCTTCGCCTTCTCGCGCGACGGCGCGCTGCCCTTCTCGCGCTACTTATATAGGCTCGATAGGAGGACAAAGACGCCGGTGGCGACGGTGTGGATGATCGTCGGGCTCGCGCTTTTGCTGGGCTTGTTGAGTTTCGCGGGGAGCGCGGCGATCGGCGCGGTGTTCACGATCGTTGTAGCGGCGAACTACGTCGCGTACATTATCCCGCTCGCGACAAGGTTCGTGTTCGCGGGGAGAAACGGGTTCACGCCGGGGCCGTTTACCCTTGGGTGTATGGTGCGTCGTCTCCCTGCTTCCGACGCCGCGGCTGACTTTTATGGACATCTCGACCGCAGAGTCTGCCGGTGACAGCGGTCGCGGTGACGTGGATGGTGTTCATGATCGTCATCTTCTTCTTCCCGACGGCGCCGGGGCCGGACGCGCAGGACGTGAACTACACCGTCGTCGTTCTCGGCGGGACGATGGCGCTCGTGGTCGCGTGGTACTACTGCCCCGTGTACGGCGGTGTGCACTGGTTCCGTGGGCCCATTGCGAACGTCGGTGTGGGTACGGGATCAGATGCAGAAGTGGTTGTAGTTGAGGGAGGCGGGGGGAGCAAGGATGTGGAGGCGGGGAGTACGAGCGCAGTGGGGTCTTTGAGAAGAGCAGAGTTGCAGCGGAGCGAGAAGGCTGGTTGAGCTGTTTGGGGTGGTGATCGTGAGGAGCCCAAATAAATGGTGAAGGTCAAGAATGATATTCTATTGGATACACCGACAAGAAGAGAATGGTATAGCGAAGTCCGAAGTCGTAAGGTGATCATTACAAACAAGGAGTACGATGCGTGCATACAGGTGCATACAACAGAGAACAGGATGATGTCACATACAGATCGCAAGCCTATGAGAAAACAACCGATTTTGCTTCCATTCGTGGTTGCAGAACTCTAAGCCTTCTCAGAGTGTCTCCTGCGTGCGGCGTGGATAACAACGGCAGCGACGATGGCGAAGAGGAAAGCGAACCACGGGAGGATCGCGACGAGCCGGACTATTCAGTGAGTTTCAGATATTATGCAAATCCAACAGAAGATGCACAAGAACACGCACGGTAATCGATATCGCTGTACTTGCTCGACAGCCCCAGCTCGCGCTCCACCGTCTGCACCAAGCTGGCGGGAACAGGGCCGAGGGCGGTGTACGCGGTGATGCCCGCGGAGCGGTTCGCGAAGAAGTAGTCGAACGGGACGAGGGCGGCGAAGAGCCAGAGGGCGGAGAAGAGGAGGAGGACGGTCTGGGCGGCGGCGAGGAAGGTGCGCTCGCCGAGGGTGGTGAGCTGGATGATGGTGCAGAGGACGGAGACGACGGCGATGAGGAAGCAGACGGCGGTGACTACTGCGCCCGAGGCGAATACGTCTGTTTGGGTGCGTAGATGTCAGTGCATGGTCGAGGACGAGTGGGGAATCGTGGAGAGTGGGGTGGACGTACCGGTCGTGTCGAGCTTGACCGTCGCGCCGAACGGCTGTGCTGCTCTCTGCACCGCGTTCTTGTCGTCATTTGATCTGCACGGAGCACAGCGGTGTGATCAGCGCAAGCTCGGGATCGGCGGTGCACGAACACGCACTTTACGGCAGCGTTGATGCCCACGCCTGCGCCGATGATGCCAAACGCAAAGGCGAAAAAGAGGGAAGCGAGGCGGGCGAACTTGAGCGGGGCCATGCTACGATTCAAAGCAAGGGAGGTTCAACGGCAGAGGAAGGAACGGGTAGGAATGAAGGAGCTCGGTTGCGCCTTATGTAGGCCGCCATGGCACGCACACATCGAGTTCCGATGGCTGGGAGCGTCTCCATGTTCCCAGGACCTGTCTCAGGTACCCTTCTCATTGGCCGGGGAAGCCTCCGGGCGCATGGCAGTAGGCCCAGACGGTGGCGGATGCATACCATGAACCTTGTGATTATCCGTGGCCCCCGCTTCTTCGCTTCCTTGGTCGCTCAGAACACCATGCGGCCTACTCAATGAATCGCCAGGATCCACGACGATTCGCTCCTGGTAGCAGGTGCATCGTGTGGGGTCAGGGCGCAGCGGAGAACCAGGGATTTCGAACCAATCATCTCCTCCTGGGTGGATCTAGTAAACCCTGTCCGAAGAGGCGTTAGACGAAGAAGCTTCGTGGTTTGGGGGTTCTCCGCAACGTTTACCCAGAGTTCGTGATCGTGAATACAAGCTCAATCAAGTTCTGGCTGTCAACTGGATGATAGCGTTGGGACCCTCGAAGTATGACCTTGCATCACCAACACAATCCGCTCACCATCAAGTTACCGACTCTGCACTTGGACGTAGGGTGATAGATTAAACTTGAGTTGCTCATGAGCTGATATTGCAGAACATAACCGCCATTCATCGACATATCCGCATTGAAGAAACGTATAAAGGCACGACGCAGTGAACATGACCCATCGCGAATGAGCCTAGCCCATAACGGACAACGTGCCTTCCGTGTCGTCCGCACAAAAACGGGCCGTTCCGCGGGCTATGACATCCACAACATGACATCGAACGCTAACGCAAGCTCCGGGTGATCATGGGCTCTTCTACATAACTGATCTTAACTCGGCACGTCAGACTCGGACTGGACTCGGATGTCAGCAGAACGACGCTGTCGCTCACCATCTCCATCTCCATCTCCGCCTCGTCCGAATAAAAAGAAAACCACAACTCGGAACCTCAGCGCAGCACAATCAGCCCCCACCCGATTCAAAGAGAGAGCAGAAAAAACATTAAAATGAAGATACACCAGTCATACGGTACGGTACAGCACATCGAGCACGGCGTAGCTAACGAGTATCAGGGGGGTATGCAGTAACAACGAGACAAAGCGGCAGCAGAAGGGTGTCATAAGAGCGTTCATAGAGTGCAGTGCAGTCATAATGTGATCGAGCGAACCAGCGGCAGCGAGGCCTTAAAGGGACATCGCGCCGAGCGGACCAGAACGGTGTAGTAATAAGAAAAGAAGAGGAGACGGAGATAGGCAGGCGTGCAGGGGGAACGCAGAACATCTAACCAGACAGACAGACAAACCACAAGTCCGTTTATCAGACAATGAGGCGGAGCCAGCCCGCACAACGCAGAGCGACAACACCATTCAGAACACCAGCAGCGCAGCATTTAAACACCCGCGCGCCCCATAAACCCCACAAACTCAATCTCAGGCCGCCCGCCCGCCTTCGCCCGCCGGCTCTTGACGAACGCATCTCCACCGAGCGTCGCGCTCGCGCTCGTCTTTTTCCTCGCGCCCAACAAGCCAGCGCTGTCGCTGTCGGCAGGCTCGACACCCGCGAGCGAGAGGAGGTCGCGCGGGTCTGCGATGCCCAGACCCGACGGGCGTTTGGGCTGGCGGTGGTGAGAAGATGAGGCGGAGGCAGAGGTGTGCGCGCGGGAGGTGGTGGACGCTTTGAGCACGACGGTGTGCGTCTGCTCGCCGTGTGCGCCGGGCAGGGCGATAACGGACACGGAGGGGTCAGAGGGGCGCGCGGTGTGCTTCGTGGCGCGGGGCTGAGACTGCGACTGAGACTGCGAGGACGGGTGGGGATGGGAGAGGGACTTGGACGATTTGTGCGTCGGCTTGCGTGTGTATTCGATCGTGGAAGCGGCGGCGGCGGCGGAAGATGATTTCGAAGAGGAGTTGGAGGGGAAGACGGCCTTGGCGGGCAGCTCCTCGCCCAGCGTGCGCCTCAGCTTGTCCAGCTTCGTGCGGCGCACGCTCGCCTCCGTCGGAATCTCGAACCCGGGCGAGCTCGGCGTGCGCTCGTGCGCGCTCCCCGCCGACCCGGGCCTCGCAGTCGACCTCGAGCGTCGAATGGGCTGGAGATCGAGCTCCTGCCCCTCGCCTTCCCCGCGCCCACCCCGATATCTAGAGTTCATATCAGGAATAGCAAACGAGCTCGGCGACGGCAACGCCGGGCGCGGCGCGTCCGCTGCTACAGCCGTGAGCGGCAAGCCCTCTGCCGCGCTGTACGCGAGCTTGAGCACCGGCGGTGCGCCGCCTCCGCCGTTCCGGGAGATGGAGGAGGGCTTGAGCGTGGCCTTGCGCGCGCGCCACGCGTCTTCGCGCGAGGGCGACTCCGATGCGTATGTGCCCTGTGCGGTGGACGGCCGCGAGGAGGGCCTGGACGTGATGCGCGAGAGCGACGACTTGGTCGGCACGCGCATGAGCGGGGCGCCGCTGCTCGTCGAGGGGCGCGAGAGCGGGGTGCCGTTGCCAAAGGGGGTGGTGGCGTCGGTCGTGGGCCAGGGCGCTGTGGACGTTCGGTTGTTAGTTGAGTATGGATACGGGCAGAAGCGTTCGGGCGGAAACGCACATTCAACGGAGTCCTGGTCCATGAAATGCGGCGTGCTGCCCAGCAGGCGCGCAAGCTTCTTGTTGGAGCGCAGCAGCCGGGCGCGTTCCTCGGGGGAAAGCACGTTCGAGTGCGGCGGCTGCGGCGGGAAGGTGACGGGCGCGGGCAGGGGAGGGTAGGTGTGGGCGTGGGTGGGGATGGAGGTCGTGGTCGTGCCGGACATGGTGGTCTCGGATTATGGCTAGGTGAATGATGTAGATTGGTTGAGGTATGGATACAGCGGGCAGAGATGAGGATGAGAGGTCTGGCTGGCAGACGGTGATGCGTAGATATGAGGAAATGAAGATGTAAATGAAGACGGAGATGGAGATAGAAGAATGGAAATAGAGAGCAAGATGACGAGAGCGAGCGGAAGGTAGGTGCGGAGTGCAACCCGGGGTATGGACCTGAGGCTGAGACGAGGAGGCCCTGAAGGTGGAGGAAAGAAAGAAAGATGCAAAAACCAAGCGGGTATACATAGACTACGCAACAAAAAGGCTCGCCCGTAAAGATGGACACGAGGAGACGAGGGCCTTCCTGTTACGACACCGCGCTCTGTAGTCACAGAATCCTGGCGACCGGCGGGACGGTCATCTAATTCCGCATGTTGGAGCGTCAGTCGCATCGAAACGCGCATAGGAAGCTGTAGGAAGACATATTTGGAAGGGCGTTGCTATTGTTTCAGCCTGATCTGCGCGGTGACAAGAACGAAGGTGCAAGAAAGTCGAGAGCGAAAGGGCGGAACTTGGGGGACACGAGGCGGCGAGCGCCGGGGCAGGCCAGGGACAAGGTTTGGGGAGACAATAGGCTTGGGAAAGGGCCTCGCTCGATCGGGTCCTCCCTTTCTTCCGTTCAGGGACACTCCTGCTCCTTTGGACGTTGATAAAAGAGAGACGCTCGGAGGCGTCGAGGATTTCTGATCAGGCGGACGAGTTCTGGGTGTATTGGTAGAAGCAAAACGTTTGGATCATGGTTGAGGACAGGAGGCAGATGTAACGACTTGTCGAGATGCATTGATCGTGACAAGTGCGGCCCGGGCATATCCGTGTCGGGGGTTGAATGTCCCTGCAGTCAACACTTTGCCTTGGACCTTGGTTGTATGCGCACGTCATGGTGTAAAAAAAAGTCCCCCATACGCGTAAGGGATGATCGCCATAAAGACAGGCAGTGCTTGTATGTTACAGAGTCTCAAAACGCGATCGTGCACAGGGCGGGAACCTGAGGGAGCCCGGATGTGAGAGTGACGTTGCTCTCGAACGTCGTGACAGCAAGCCTCCGTGGAAACGGTAGATCTAGTGCCTGAACGTGCTCAAATCATCCTCGACGGGCTTCAGCTTCATGTCCGACGTATTGTTTATTGTGATGATCTGTTTTCATGTTGCAGATTGAAATAGCCCCTGAAACACGTCCAGTAAGGTTAGGGTCTGGTGTCATCATCGGCCGTCTGTGGGATGCTCAGCCATCCTTGTCCTGACGCAGGGACCACTGACAGGTCTCGCGATCGTCAAACCATCCACTTTTCTCTTCTCTCCACAAACATCCGAGTCCGCTGTGGGCCTCAAACATGTTCAAGAATGCGGCGACAAAGCTCGCCCATAACTCCACGTTACCTTCCCTGGGCGGGAATAATGACCTCCGCCCGCTCCAGGACCTCATTACGGCGGAGAAGATCGTCTTGAATTCGTTCGTGCGATCATCTGAGGTTCTTGTGCGCGTAATCTAACATCACGGGTGCCTCTCTATCTAGGATACAGAAACTAGCGAGTGACCTAGGAAAGGCCTCAGACGCATTGCGTACATGGGGACTGGGCGAAGGCGACGATCTCGGTGTGCGTCCCTATCTCTCCTCTCATCCCCCTCTCCCAATTACCGAATAGCCTAATGGATTTCTCTCCCCACCACATCTAGGACACTCTAAGTGCATCAGCAACCGTCATCGGCCACTTCTCCAACGCCCTCCTGCAGTACGCCTCGCTGCACAACACCGTGCGTGACAACATGAAAGCCGTGCGCACGCGCGAGGAGGCGCTCGACGAGCTCAAGCGCCGCCGCAGGCGCATCGCCGCCAACGCCGAGTCGGCCGAGCGGAAGCTCAACAAGATGAGCCCCGAGCACAAGAACCTCGTGCAGCAGACCGAGATGCTCAACCGTCTCAGGGAGGAGATCAGGGGCCTCGATACGGAGATTCTGGCGGAGGAGGCGGATGTGGGCGATTATAAGCGAAAGTGCACGAAGAATTGGATGACGCTCAAGTTTGGTGGTCTCGTCGAGTGTTGTGAGAAGGGTGTTGTGAGTCTCTGCGCTGTGATGGTGTACGATATACGCATTCAACTGACCGCTGGCGTTTTGTATAGATCATAGGAAACATCGGAAAGAACATCCTTGTCGTACGTCCCCTCCTCATCGCAGCAGCCCGACCCGCTGACCTTTATCGCAATCGTAGGACATACCAGAGGAGCAGACCCAACCCGGCATGCCACGTGCCTTCTACAACGGCCACACGCACGTCAACTTCCTCCTCGCCGATTGCACGAACAGGCTCAAGGAGGTACAATTTTCTGGAGTACCCTCCTCCCGCCCAGAGGGCCCCTTCAGCGACGGCAACAACGCGCCCGAAAGCCCCCATTCGCCCGGGATTCCGGGTCAGAGCCCGTACGGCACACAGGCGATCGGTGGGGGCAGCGGGTATGCGCCGTATCAGGCTGGACATGTGCGTATTCATTCAATCCTTATGCGCGTTAAACGTCTCATCCTATGCACCATCCTCGTAGTCCGTGACAACAGTGACGAACCCAAACAGCAGTGTCGACGAAATGGGCGTCAGCATGGGGCCTGGCGGCGGCCCCTCATCCATGAGCGCCCTCCCGCGGCACGGCCCCGCTCCCTCGATCACCACACAATCCCAGTTCAACACGATGCCCACGCGCGGTCCGCGAGGTCCGGGCGGGTTCTACGACTCGAACACGAACACGCCGACGTCCGGCTCCGCCGCTGGCTCTGCCTTCGGGGCGGGCGGACCGCGCCCGTCGCTGGGTGACCGCCCGCCGCAGGCGGAGGGCGACTCGTTCTCGCACTCTGTTGCGGAGGCGCTGTCGCTCCGCGGGGATCAGAACACTGCGAGCACGCTTGCGAGGAACGCGACGGGTGCGAGTCTGGCGCACGACGAGCCGGCGCCGCAGTATGAGCCGTACGATGCTAGTGCTCCTACAGGTGGGATTGGTGGTGGCGGAGGAGGACCGTACGATGGGCTGCCGCCGGGGGCGGCGCCGGCTGCTGTGCCGGCGTGGGGCCATGGACACACGAGGAGTATTGGGCAGGGCGTTAGTCTCGCGGACGGTAGCGGCTCGCCGCAGGTGTCTGAGAGCCCGACGAGGGAGTGGGCGAGGGACGAGGATGGGCTGCCGAGACACGCGTCGAGGCATGTTGTGTTTGGTCAGGCGGAGGAGGACGATCAGCAGGCGCAGACGTCGCAGCTGTCGAGTATACCGCCGCGGTCGAGCTCGCTCGTGACTGAGAAGGGCGTGCCAGCACAGGGGCGGGAGCAGGAGCAGCCGGATGCGGAGACATCATCAAGACCGACATCGCGCGACGAGCGCCGGCTCTCGCGCGTTCCGCCTCCCTCGTCTAGTACGGGACAAGAATACGCGCCGCCGCCGAGCAGACGACAGAGCACCGTTCCACCCATCCAGAGCCCCAACCCGAATCATAATCTCGCCCAGCCCCCACAGAGCCACAGCCGCAATCAGAGCCGCAACACGAGCCCGCTGCCCTCGCCCCGCCCCCCGTCGGTGCTCGACGACGAAGGACTGATGAAGACGCTCAACGCGGAGGCCGCGCGCTCCATCGCGGAGGAGATCGACGCGCTCAGCAGCGAGCCGCCGCCGAGCGTGCTGCGGGCGCGGCCCCGCGCGGGGTCGGCGTCGGTGTCGGCGGGCGGGGGGAGAAGGAGCTCGGTGTCGGAGGCGGCGGCGAGTCCGCCGATGAGTCCGACGAGTCCGCTGGCGCCACCGAGTGCGCCGTATGCGCAGAGGGCTGTTTCGCCTGGGAACGATGCATCGGGAGGAGGTGGTGGTGGTGGTGGTGCGCCGGCGGGGGGTCGACCGCTCCCCAATCCCTCGCCACTGGCATCGCCGCTTTCGGCATCGCCGAAGCTCGGGACGCTCCCGTCGTTTAGTCTCCAGGGGAGTACACCGAGTACGTCGCCCTACCGTACTCCGCCCGAGTACCCCGCGCCCCCATCGCGCCCGTTCGGGGCCAGCTCGCCGTACACACGGTCGACGTCCTCGCTTACGTCTCTGACGAGCGGTCCTGGGGGCGCTGGTGCTGCGGGGGCGGGAGGGATGAAGACGATTAGCGCTGCTGCGTTCCGGAGGCCGCAAGCGCGCATGCCGAGCGGGTCGGAGGCGCCGTTGCCTGGGGTGCCGCCGCCTTCTGGCGGTGGCGGCGGTGGGAGTCCTGGGGCGGTGCATCAGCAGTACGCGACGTCGCCTTCGCCAGCGGACACGAGTCCGCTCGCGCTTAGAGGGAAGAGCAGCGGGCATATGCGGCAGCATGGCGGCGGCGGCGGCGGTGGTGGGTCGAGTGTGGGCGGGATTGGGAGTCAGGCGTTTGGCGGGCTGCCGCCTGGTGCGAGCCCCGGTGCAGGGCCTGGAGGGCGGCCGCTGTCGGGTGCAGCGAATGAGGATGATTTTGATTATATTTCGGCGTATGTGAATGGGCAGGAGAATGGGGGGCAGCATCAGGGACAGGGATATGATCAAGGGCGGTTCGCGACGAATTTGGAGGAGGATAATGTTCGGTGATCATGAAGGCGATGCGAGGACGTTTGTTAGAGGACGGGTTGTTCGTGAATGTTGATTTGGATGTTTTGTTTTGTTGGAACGGTGGTTTCGCCGATGTTGCTCTGCTTTATACATATGACTTTGTTTTGTTGAAGTATGCACGTATACGTATCTTATTTTGATTGTTCTTACATGTACGTTGAAGGTACTTTCATATGCTATTGAATCGATATATTCTGCGCATCGTCAAATACAGGTGGGCGACGAGACGGATTTTAGTTGAGTCGAGTACGCTAGGTCTCGCAACTTAGACGCGACTTGCCAGACGAGGTCGTAGTCGCTTGTTGGGTCGCGCGCTTGTTTATCCCACTTCCAACCTCCGTGTTGGCCACCTTTGGTTTCACCTCGCCAACCACACCAGCTCACGCCCCCACATGTCTTCTCATCTCGATCTCGATCATTCGACCGTAACGGGTATCTTCGACGGTGGAGATTGGGCAACGAATCGGGCGCACACCTCGTTGACTGGTCATCAGACCTCATCACGCTGCATCCTCATGTCCACAGACGCTCAACGATGAGAGATGATTCGACGAGCTATACTTGAGCTTCCAGCTGCTTTCGGTCGCGAACAGACGCTCGAGGGGAGATATAAGACTGCGACGTGAGAACGAACGCCTTTTCCCTCTCTTCTTCGCTCACCCACCAGTGCGCATTTCAGAGATCTCCCTCTCGAACTCAGCTACTTGCTTTCTCAATAACCAACTGTACTTCGACTCTCGAACTTCAGTATGCCAGGAAACGAAGATAAAGCCATCAGGCTCTTATCTATTGGTGCGTGCTCGTCATCTCTTCTCGTTGTCGCCGGTGCTCATCGTCGATACACCCTACCCATTATAGACGGCGGCGGCGGCGTCCGCGGGGTGTCTCCGCTCCTCATTATCCGCGAGATGATGAAACGCATTCAACACCAGGAGGGCCTCACCTCGATGCCTGCTCCTCACGAGTACTTCGATATGATCGGCGGATCTGGCACAGGCGGGTGAGTCTCGCTATTTTATCTTTCCTCTCTCCGTGTTGTATTACACCTCCCCATGTCGTCTTCTCTCTCTACGTTGTCTTTCCTCTCCATATCGTCTACCCTCTATTCGTGTTGCCTTCCCCCTCTCTATGTTGTCTACCCTCTCTCTACGTTGTACCCCCTCTCTCCATGTCATCTTCCCTCTCTTCATGCCGTCTACCCTCGGTCTACGTTGTTTACCCTCTCCACGTTGTTTACCCTCTCTATACGTTGTTTACCCTCTCTCTACATTGTCTACCCTCTCTCCATATCGTCTACCCTCTCTCCATATCGTCTACCCTATATCCGTGTTGCCTTCTCCCTCTCTACGTCGTCTTCTGTCTACCCACGTCGTCTACCCTCTCTCCACGCCGTTTACCCTCTCTCTATGCTGTTTACCCTCTCTCTATGCCGTTTACCCTCTCTCTATGCCGTTTACCCTCTCTCTACGTTGTTTACCCTCTCTTCATGTCGTTTACCTTCTCTTCATGTTGTCTATGCTCTCTCCTCGTTGTTTTCCCTCTCCCCATGTCGTCTTCCCTCTCCCCATGTCGTCTTCCCTCTCCCCATGGCATCTTCCCTCTCCATATTGTCTTCCCTCTTTCCATGTCGTCCCCCTCCATCCGTGTTGTCTTCCCTCCATGTTGTCGCTGCCCATCCCCTCTGATTGTTGATCGATGATCACTGATGCACTCTCATATTTGTAGGCTTGCCGCGATCATGCTTGGCCGCCTCCGCATGCCCATCGACGAAGCTATCAAGGCATACGACGCCTTCGTCAAGCGCGTCTACATCGACGGACGCAAGCGTCTTGGTGACGAGACCTTCAAGGCCAGCGTCCTCGTTGAGGTCGTCAAGGACATTGTCGGGGCTCAGCTCGGGCAGAAGGACGCCCGCATGCTCGACGACAATGCTGCATGCAAAGTGTATGTTCCTTTCTCCATGTCCCCCCTCATGTTGGACGATGCTTATCCGACCATAGCTTTGTGTGCGCGAGTCTCGCCGAGAACTTGAACGCCGCCAAGCCGGTGCTGCTGCGTACCTACCGCGTTGCGAGGAACGCCTCGCCTGACTGTATGATATGGGAGGCTGGTCGGGCGACGACGGCTCACCCGGGGCATTTCAAGCCTGTCACTATTTCTGACGGTGTTGTTCGTCATGACTATATTGATGTGGGGCTGGGGGTGAACAACCCCTGCCGTGTTCTGCTCCACGAGGCAGCGTCCATGTATCCTGAGCATAGTCTCAGGGTTGTGGTGAGTGTTGGCACGGGCCATCCGCAGACCATCAGTGCATTGTCAGGTGGTAGTAGATTCGGAATCTCGAGGGGGCTGTCCTCAGACATGTTTGATGTGATCCGCAGTGTTGCTGTTGATTGCGAGAGAGTGGCAGAGGAGCTTGAGGTCCATTTTGGCCGTCACCCGGGGTTGTACTTCCGATTCAATGTGGGGCAGGGGATGCAGGGTGTATCATGGGATGCATGGGACATGCAGAGAGCAGTGAATGCCCACACTGCCCATTACCTGCAGATGGCAGAGGTGAATTCGAGGATGGATGTGTGTCTCAATGTGTTGTGCAGTGGTAAAGGACAGGTGTTGGTGTCACTGGTAGATCATTTGCCTGCTCCAGTGCAGAGTCAGGTTGAGGTGTCGAGGTTATTGCCACCACCTCCTTCAGCCACATTCACTGGCAGAGAGGATATTCTGAGTCAGATGAGAGCATATTTCTCCACTGAAATTGATGGCACTGTGCAACAGCATAGATTTGTGCTTCATGGACTTGGTGGTGCAGGAAAAACTCAGATTGCACTTCAGTTTATCCATGATTGTCAAAAGAACAGTGGATCTGAGTGAGTAGTTTAGTCTGCATGTGTGATGTTTGCTAATATTTCTGCGCAGATTTTCAGAAGTGTTCATGGTTGATGCTACTTCCAAACAGTCTATAGAGGCTAGTTATGCAGTCATTGCCACCTCTAAAGGTGTTGGGAAGTTTTTCTCTGATGCTTTGGCATGGTTCAAAGGGCAGAATTCCAATTGGCTACTGTTGTTGGATAATGCAGATGATCCTTCCCTGAATCTCAGGGATTATCTGCCAGCATGCTCACATGGGAATATTGTGATCACCACTAGAAATGCTGGTTGTGCTGTACATGGAGTGGGAGAAAACTCTGTAGCACATGTTCTTGAGATGAAGCAAATTGAGGCTGTCAGCCTTCTATGCAAAGTCAGCATGGCCTCTGAAAACAATGGTATGATGCTAGAACTTGCTGAAGTAAGTTATACTTTGAACGTAATTATAACTATTGCTCATCAAATTTGTAGAAATTGGGCTACTTCCCTCTTGCAATTGCTCAAGCTGGAGCTTATATTCTGTCGACCAATTGTGGCATAAGCAAGTACATAGAGCTGTTTGACAGATACAAAAGAATCATCCCAGGCGAGCTGCCAGCACAATGGCCACATGACTACCCATTTGGAGCATATGCCACATGGGAAATCAGTTTCACCAAGCTGAGCCCAGATTCCCAGACATTTCTTGAATACTGTGGCTTTTTCTACCATAGTGATATCACAGAGTGGTTATTTGAGGCAGCTTTTAATGCTGAGGGCTGGAACAACAACAATGAAGTTACCCTGCTGCAGATGTTTTTAGATGATAACCAAAGATGGGACTCATTGAAGTTTAATGGTGTTGTTCAAGAAATCCTCCAATATTCATTGATGTCTTCTGCTAGTGGCTTATACACTATTCATCCTCTCATTCACCAATGGGCACATGATAAAGCAGTGAACAAAAGCCAAAGAGAGTCTGAAGTTCAGCAAATTCTTGCCATGGCAGTTCCTTTGGACATGAATAAAACACGCTATGCTCACAAAAAACTGCTACAAACACATATTAGACATGCACACCAAGAAACTATACCTGTTGAAGTAGCAGCAAGATGGGCTGAGGTTTACAGGGCTACTGGAAGTTGGAGTGATGAACTTGCATTAGAAAACATGATCTATGAAATTAACATGGAAAAACTTGGAGCAACTCATCCTGATACCTTGACAGCCATGCATGACCTGGCACACACACTTCAACAGCTGGGCAATCTGAAGGAAGCAGAGAATCTGCAGATACAGGTCCTGGAGGCAAGGAAGAGCATTCTGGGTGATGAGCATTCTAGTACCTTGACAGCCATGCACACCCTGGCATACACACTTCAGCAGCTGGGCAATCTGAGGGAAGCAGAGAATCTGCAGACACAGGTCCTGGAGGCAGAGAAGAGGATTCTGGGGGATGAGCATCCTGATACCTTGTCAGCCATGCACACCCTGGCATACACACTTCAGCAGCTGGGCAATCTGAAGGAAGCAGAGGATCTGCAGAAACAGGTCCTGGAGGCATCAAAGAGGATTCTGGGTGATGAGCACCCTCATACCTTGACAGCCATGCACACCCTGGCATACACACTTCAGCAGCTGGGCAATCTGAAGGAAGCAGAGGATCTGCAGAAACAGGTCCTGGAGGCATCAAAGAGGATTCTGGGTGATGAACATCCTGAAACCTTGACAACCATGCACAACATGGCATGGATCTGGTATTACCAGGGTGATATTGACAGGGCCATTGATTTGATGAAAGAGACAAATGTCCTTGACACAAAGATTGGGATTGACCCCTGGAACACACCCGCTACCCTGGCTAAGTGGAAGGCAGAGAAGGCAGCTCAAGAACAAAATGAATAAGCATCTGGTAAGTATGTTCTATAATCCTAACTGGTCAGCTTTTTCACCTTGGATGGTTTAGGGAGCAGAGATTTTTTGTAAACTAGTAGCTTGTTACCATACATACTTATGTACAACAAATTCTGATCAATGTATTTTAGTTATGATACCAATGTTGAGGTGGTATCTGAAACCTGTATGCTATTGAATAGATTCTGATGTGATGTAAGGCAAAGAAATAAGTTAATTAGGTTGAGGTTACCAAGCTTGACATGATTATTGGGTATTCATATCCTACCGAGAGGCTATTAGGTGTGTAACAACATGCCAGCTATTCCACCACTGGAGGCTCAAAAGCAAGGAAATTGTGTCATTGATTCAATGAGATTGAAGATTCATCATTACAATACTGGTGCCATAACTAGTATAGATAGAGCCGAAAACCGAACAGCATTTGTGTTACCATCGGGCCTAATCCCATCTTGGCCTTACTCGAACATGGGTATACAAAAGCCCTGACACTGCTGCACTTCGACTACAACTACATCCCGCAACCTGAACGACAAAAGCAGACTACCCTACGCCCACGGGTTCTCCTCATTCGTATCCACAAATGTGTATGCCCCTGCCTGCACCTGCGACGGCGGCATCTGCTCTCTCACAACGCGCCCCTCGACACCTTCGAACTCTGTCTGCGGCCGATGCGCCGGCGAGCGATCGAGAAGCATCTCCTCGTCTTTGTCTTCTTCACGCACACGAGCGTCATTGTTGTCGCCGACGCCGTCGTCAATGACAAACGGACCCGCCGACGCTCGCTCAGCACGCTGCTCGTCGTGCCAGACGCGCCGCAGACCTGCAGGCGGCGAGCGTGCGTCGGGCGAGTGCGACGGGCGCCGCAGGGCAGGCGGTGGTGGAGAGGCAGCGTCCGAGTCCGGGACGATGAGGTCGACGGCGTCGTCCTGGACGAGCGGCGTGCGTGCGCCGCTGGACGTGTGGATGCGTGGTGAGGGGCGTGCGGAGGGGTGCGACGAGGACGAGGTAGAGCGGACGTGGTCGTGTGCACCGAGCGCGGGCGAGTTGTGCCATGCGTCCGAGCGGGCGGCTGAGGGGCTTGGAGCTTGGCTCGGTGGTTTCGACTTCGGCTGTGAGGCAGATGCAGCGGAAGATGCACGGACGCGAGGATGAGAGGAGGATGAAGCATGTGGAGGCGCTGGTGGAGAGAGAAGGTTGCTTGAGCTCGCGTTGCGCGAGCCGCCGCTTGCTGAGCCCGATCCTGAGCCAGTGCGCGAGACAGGTCGCGCACCCTTGGTCCTTGTCCAATTGAGCCGGAGGCCTGGCGGGGGAAGACCCTCCTCGAAGTCAACAACACGATCCTCGGGCTCCGAGCCGAAGCCTTCGTCTTCGTCCTCGTACCGCCGCCGTGGCGACGACCTCGCCCCCGGACGTGCACTGGTCGCACCCGTCGCGCCATACCCGCCTCCGGCCGCCTTGCGTATGGATGCCTTGACGGGCATCACGTCTTGCACAACGCGCACCTCGGCCTCCCACATCGCTCGCCGTGCCTCCTCAGAGCTGACGTCCACGACGGGGTACAGATAATCACCGAACACGAATCGCCGCGCGTCACGGAACAGCTCTTCGTCTGCATCGCTCGGCGGTGCAAACTCGAGGCCGTAGCCGTCCTCCCCATCGTCCTCATCCTCATCTGGCGGAAGCGGTAAACCGTGATCGTAGTCCCGATAACGCATGTCGGGTGCATCGTGCACCACGTCCTCCGCTTCACCCGCAAGCAGCGGCGCGATCGCCTCCTCACTCTCGTGCCTCGTCTGCCCAACCAACTTTCCGAGCCACCTGTGTGCCGTCGCGTTCCCAGGAGCCGCCTGTCGCTGCGCCCTCGAGCCCTCGGCCGCTAGACCATACGCGTTGCCGCTACCCGCCGGATCGACGACCTCGGGGAGCCAGTATTTCCCCTTTCCGCCGCGGACGTATCGAAGACCCGCGCGAATGCGGGTCTCTCTTGCCACGCCAACATGCATCACGCCCTCCGACGGTTCGAACGAACGATACGTGAGCCCTTCTCCGCGAAGCGTCGCTCGCGTGTCCTCGACGAGGTCCTTGAGGCCTAGACTATCACGCAGCGCGTACCATATCCTCAACCTCGCAACGTAGGAATATGCTGGCTTATCTTGCGCCTCTCGTGCCGAGTGCGTGAGGGACGAGGTCGGAGGAGACGGGGTGGTGAAATCTTTGTACGAGAAGGCATACATGTGAGCGGCAGCAAAGAATGGCATCTCAATACAGATGAGCATGTCGGTGAGGCCGATGGAGATGTGTTCGGAGTCGGTGTAGGGGCCGAGTCGCGTGATGAGGCCAGCTGCGACGAGGAGGGAGACGCCGATGGACTGCCAGAAGGAGAAGAAGAGGATGCCTTTGACGCAGAGGAACTTGGGAACGGGGCTAGGAGAAAGGGTCAATGAGAGCATTGGAGTGAAAGTAGGGTTACGCACCGGAAGGGTTTTAGGTCCTCGTTGACGCACATCCAAAACACTGCGAGACAGTAGAGAGCGAGGCAGATAGAGACGTTGTATATGACGGAAACGTAGAGATAACCAGATCGTGCACGGAAGTCGCCTTCGTGGTATGTGCCCGTAGCCTTCATGACGAGACTTGCGACCGCGAGCATGGGCTTGACTTGGACGTACTCTGAAGAGCGTTCTTGTTAGTACTGAGGACGCGTGACTGCACAACGACACGCACGGAGAATGCCTCTCTTGAGGAACAGATATGTATACGGATCACTGGCGTCTACATCATGTCTCCAAAGGGTCATAGGAAAGACAGCGGGTTTAGGTGGACGGCCGTGAAGGAGGATGAGAAGCTCGCGCTCGCCGCCGAGGTATTGGATGAGGAGCGCGAAGAAGCAGTAGATGACGAAGGCCTATAGGAGCTCACGTTAGGCGTGACAAGCGTATTTGGGTAGAAGGAGACATGCCTCGTAGATGTCTCGTATGGCATCAATGAAGAAGGCGGCGTCGAGGGAGAAGATAGATATGAGAGAGGCGATAGCATATATGGGAACCATAACCATAATCCGGACCACCATTCTGCATCCTAGTCAGCTCGTGCATGGTATAGACACTTGAAGCAGAGTGTGTTACATACCTTTGGAGCATTGGCTTGCGATAGTTCTTGAGTTGAAGGTAGATAGATAACCCGCTAACGACGACTGCGACCAGCGTCGACAGCCCAGCGAAGATAAGCGCAGGAAGTGGCAGACTGGAGCCAGCACCGCGACCGTCTGGCAGTATACCCTCTGTCTCCGCCATGGTTGACTATGGAGGTGGTGGAGGGGAAAGACGAGCGCTGGTACGCTGCGGCGCAGTGAGGGGATGAGGAGGCGGACACCGGACTCAGTTCCAGACGACGTCAACAGTCCAGGGACCAATCTGGCTGACGTAATAAGTGGCGGTACACCAGCGCGTCAAATGAGCGCGTCCTTGTCGCGTCGCGTTTTGCCATGAGAAACTTCACGACCTTTATCTCTAGTCTTTTCAGAATCCAGCCCATGACCCTGCATGTGTGGCACCCTCGTCTGCAATTTCGAACCCGACGTCACTCCTTTAGCCATCGGGCGCAAATAGGAAACCTTCTGCACATCACAGGCGCTCGAGTGGCCGAACGGGGAGCCGGAAGGGATTCCTAGTCCCGCAATCCTTCCTAGTAGGAAGTCTGGGGGGAGGAATTTCAATGGCAGAAGATCTCGTCGCTTAGCAGCGCAGTCGTACCAATGAAGTCATCGTGCAGGACTTCACGACGCCAAGGTGCGGCGATGCCGCTCTAAGTCCACTTCGACGCGTTTCGTGGCATGGTCCGACTAGCATCGTGTGGTACTATAAGACGTCGTATAAGAGAGCGTGTCTCGGGATGCCCATTCGAATTTCTCCCTTTTGACGCCCTGGTTACTCGTCGGAGACAAATTTATTCCTGATTCCTGGCGATGTAGTACGTTTTCCCCCTCTCATCTCTTGCCGCCTCCCTCAAAGGTTCTTGCGTAGAGCTGCGTCTTGTTCAGATCTTCGGTGGAATCTCGTCTTCGATTAGATGTACAACTATTGCTTTTCTGCTTTGATCCCATCGGTGGCGAGTTGTTCAAGTTTTATTTTTATTCGATCAAAACTCTCAATGCTGGCAGATAATCTTCCGATACCCAAATGTGTTACGTAATGCACGCGATATGAACCAAGAGCATAGCGGGCAACCGAAGCGTTCAATTTAGTCACGAAGAACGGAGACGAGGTAAGCCGTCTTCTCCTTCTTAACTATCGCTCTCTCCACCAGCACATGAAACCAAGAATGCTATCACGGCACGAAGATAGCTAACGAACATATATTCCAGGAGTCAACTGACGAAACGGCGATCACGACGGCATCGAACACCAGCTACGCTACATCGTACACGAAAAGCAAATAGTAAAGCATAAAGCAATATAACAAAGCGAACCCCACGTTCTCGATGATCAAACTACCCGCATCGTGATCACGGTACGCGAAAATATGCACGCGGGCGGAGCACCTCTTGATCCACCTCTCCTATTATCACCAGGTCGTCTTCCAAGCGGACCTCCGCTGGTCCATCAGTGGACAGCCGATAAGAATATGGGCAATACGCTCAGGTTCTTGAACCGGAGACCCCATCGCCCCTCGTTTCGTCCCCGCATCCGCAACCTCCACCTCCTCCTCTATCTCGCCTCGTCAAGGCGTCGTAACCAAATTTCCCCCACCCAATCCATACATCCCCGCATCCCCACCTCCCTGCCCGTGCCCGTGCCTCCCATGCACATCCCCGCCCATCGGCGGCTGCCCAAACCCGAAATCGTGCCCAAGCAACGACGCAACATCCACCGGATCGTCCCCAAACATGCTCATCGCGCCCACAGGCGACATATACATGTCCGCATCAAACTCCATCCCCAGCGTATGGTCCATGAACGGCGTCCCGCCCAGCGCAGACGCAGACGCGGACGTCACGCTCGCCGACCGCTCAACGCCAACGCCAACGCCCACACCCCCAAACGCGTGCGCCATCCCCGGACCGCCCGGACCGGCGGACGACGGGCCGGCGACGGGTGCAGGCGAGAACACCTTGCTCGGGCTCGTCCCGCGCGCGAGCGCTGCGTCGGTGACGAATTCGGATGGGGAGAACGCCTCGGGGCTCGAGTGCTGCGAGCCGCCGTTGTCGGAGCCCTTCGCGGCACTAGACGTCTTTTTCCGGATGGGACGGATCCACGGCGGCCGGCTGCTCTCCTGGTCGGCGTTGTCAGGGCGCGAGGGTTCCAGCGGTATTTGGGTTACTATGACGAGAGAAGAAATGCAGAGGGCGCGTTGGTGGGAGAGAGGGGAAGGGAGACGGGTACGAGGGAATGACGAGGGTGGATGATCATTTGTCGAAGTCCGAGGACAATGGTGAAGGGAGAACCGTAGAGGCGCAGCGGGAGCGAGGACGAGAAGAGGCAATGTCGGGGAAAAGATAACTATAGTCAGCACCTTTTCCAAGCACTATGCTGGGCACACTCACGTCTGCAGAACTCCTCCATCAGATCTCCAGATCGCTGCCCACACACATATCTCCCGCTAAACCGGCGCAGCAGGCCCACGCACGACCGTAGCGCCTCGAGTGCGGGCTGGATGAGGTGCTGCAGCTTTTCGCTCTTGCAGTTGATCAAGATGGAGAGGAGCGTGCGGCCCGCCTGCGTGAGCTGGTGGATAACGTGCACGCCATCTACCAAAACCACCATCGCCATAGTCAGCAACGTTGATGAGAGAAGCGACTCAGGAGAAACGCACAATACGTCATGAGCCCCTTCGCCGCTACCTGCATATGCGACGAAATAATCCCCAGCGCGCACGCATGCGCCTGCGCCATCGCCTCCCTCTCCACCTCCCCAGGCTCATCATCGCTCCTGCTCGGCACCCCGTACGCCTTCTCCGCGACAAAATTCGAGAACCGATGCCGATGAATCAGCATCCGCACGAACTGCTCCGCGCAGTGCAGACGCACCGCCTGCGTCACGCGAATCACATCGTCGCTCGCAAGCGTCTCGCTCGTGTGCGCCCAGTACGGCGGGATCGTGCGGCTAACCTCGTCGAGCAGCGCCTCCTCCTCGCGGAAGTCCTTCGGCCGCATGTGCCCGGAGAGCACGCCCGCCGCGCGAACGAGGTACGGCGAGCTCGAGTCGCTCGAGCGCGAGAACCGCGGCGCGGGGATGTCGAGCACGCTCTCCATCACGACCATGATCCGCAGCGCAGCTACGAACGCGCTCATCCGGCTCTCAGTCCCAGGGGCCTGCGGACGCATCCCTTCGTCGGTGATGAACTCGTCGTCGACGATCGTCGGCTCCTCGATATCGCAATCGCGCAGGCGGATCATCGGCGGGCGCCCAAAGTGCGCTGACAGCTGCTTGTCCCAGAGGTAGACGCACCAGAACGTGCGTTTCCGGACTTCGTCCTCGACGGGTGAGAACACGTCGTATGTATCCGACGAGCGGTGCAGGCCCGCGTCGACCGAGACCGTGATCGCCTCTGAAAGGAGCGCTGCGGCTTTGGAGAGCTTGCCAAGACCGACGGCGTATACCGCCGCGACCAGGTCTGCCTGAATGGTATAGAGGGTCGGTCGGTCCGCGATAGGCAGCGTTCGGAGGCGCCCAAAGAGCTCGAACCACTGCGTCCCAGCTGAGGTGCCCTCATTGGGATCCGCACGTACGCGTGGGTCGTCAATGTGTCTCGAAGCGAGGCAGCATATGGCGACGATGAAGGAGGCAAAACCCGGTTCGCCCCATTTTCGTGGGTTGCCGTAGTCCTACAATAACGACAACACAGCCAATGCGCGCTCGTGATGAGTAACAAGCACATCTGACCATGATTTATGTTATACACTTACCGATAAGAACGTTGGCACATGCAAGAACGGCATGATATAGTACGACGTGCACAAGAAGCACTGCACGAGACTGGGCGAGAGAAGCAAAGTTTGAGTCAGCTGATAACGTTCGGGACGGCTGCCTAACAGGCAGCGAAAGAAGTGAAAAAAAAACACGGCACCTGTCCATGAGCTCCGGAACGATGTACGATGTGATTAATCTCCACAGCGTCTCCGGGTTGACGTCAGCTCGCCTCGGAGTCCGGTTGGGAAACCACGTCGTGCTGCCTCCGCTGCCGCCGCCGCCCGCGCCCGAACTCGACCTGGTATGCGAGGTCGGTGGCGGCTGGGGTATACCGTTGAGCTGTTCGCTTTCGGCCTTCACGACAGGTGTATGGCTCTCGACGAGCAGGTCTAGAAGGGGCAGACCAGAGGTCTCTCCCTGCCATCGCGTGTGCCCCTCGTCGTCGAAGTAGAGGTAGGAGGCCTGGATCGCCATCCTGGTCGGCTCTTCCTGCTGAGGTTCGATGGGGCTCATGCCTTGCATAATCGAGGTACCGACTCCATTTTGGGCTAGCATTGATTGAAGAGCGGAATTAGGACTTTCTTGGCGTGCGTCTCTTGGTGCAGTCGTGAAGTGAGTAGACGGATTTGTAAGCGGGAATACATGAAGGGATGGTGGTGGGACGCCAGAAGGGAAGGTGTGGGTGGTGGAGGCAAAGGAGGCGAGTGGGCTCGCCATGCTCGCATCGGAGAGTTGACTCGTGGGTTGGATGCCGCTGCCTCCTGCGGCAAACACGGCGGGCGGAATAGCTCGGATGAGGGTCTCGAGCTGATGCATTCGGTCTTCAAGTGTTGCAGTGCGTCTGCTAAGTGTCAAAACACATGTTAACGAGGAGCAGAACTGATAATGTGGACAAACTTTGACTTGTGCGGATGGCTACGTTTTCCTGGCTCCTCGAACGTGCAGGAAGAGTTGGCGGACAGACATGCCTGACAGGGGTGTCCTTCATCGCACTTGATTCTTCGTCGTCTATCATTCCGAGAACGATAAGAGGCCGACCTCAGAGCTTGGCCGATAACATTGGCGCTCACCTGCAGCGGTCGCATGCTCTGGGTTGCACGAATCTGTGAGCGGTGAGACGGATGACTCGGAAACGTATGACTCACCTGCTCAGCTTGAATCGCCTCTCCTTGAGGATCGCCGACGAGACTTTCTCGTTGTCTTCGTCTCCGTGTACGGGGGGCATTGTGGGTTGAAATGCGGAGTGTCGAACGAACAGACCGATGTCGAAAGGACGGCTGAGATGAGGCCAAGAGCCAGAAATACGATCCGACTTTTACCCACAAGCCACAGACCTCTCATCTCTCGCGCGGAACCGGCCCGCTCCGGCGATTGCCGAGCAGACCACATTCGGTAAGTTCGCACCAGCTTTACTCCGTTTAGTTTCATTTAGCCCCTAGCTCTTGTCCTTCCCCCTGCATTTGTGTCGCAATGTAAACCACCTCAGCGCATCATGATAGCTTTCCTAGTCCATATCTATCTCAGTTGCTGTCCGCTTTGCTCGCAACGCTCTCACAAGACTACGACGCGCCCGTTGAGACCACGTTCACTCGATATCACCCGAACAGGCGCACAACGTTCATTTGTAATCTCCAACCTAAATGGATCAGGGAGGCATCAGTCCAAGCACAAACGGCGCAACCTACACAACGCCCCATACTGCCGCCGAAATCAGCCCGTGTTCATCCACACACTCCCATGTTCACGCTCATATGTCTAGCCAGTAAAGACACAGGAACAGACCTGAGGCGTGATGCACGCACGCACGAATCCCTGCGAGCGGGGGCGGTAGCGTGCTCCGATTTTCATCATACACCGGAGGCCTGCAGAGAAGGAGGGCACGAACGCACAGGAAGCTGCGAACATCGCACGCACATGTTCTCATCGGGCTCCTTCTTCCGAAGTCATCCTAGGTCCTGACAGGCTGCGGTCAAACTCGGAACAGCAGGCTCGTGCGCCCGATAACCATTCCCGCCTGCCTACCTGCCTTTGCCGGCACGTCCGGGCTCTCATTTGCAGCTGGACGCCTAAAGCGGGCAGAATAGAAGGTGCCCCAGATTCTTGCATATGTCATCTGTATGTCACCGTTAACGCCATCTCGGAGAATCTCACCGTTAAACCTTCTTGCGCGCTCGCGTGCATCCTATCCAAGGCTGTGGTAAGTTACGCATTTGCGCTTGAACATTGTACTATGACGTTTGTCGTACAAACTCCTTGGGCGACCTTCAGATGGTGGCACCATTCAAGATATCTAAAGGCATGCGTCTACCAAACGCCCGAGTCTCACTTAAGAAACGACTGTCTTCCGTGCTAAATAAAGATCTGCCTACGGGAGACTAAGTCTCACTCAATCGACCTGCAAGGCTTCAATTTGTAGTGTGAGGAAACCCTGGTGAACATTCCTCCCATGGTATGAATGCACTTATGTTCGCGTGCTCTATAATTACGCCCCAGTCCAACGCACAGGAATACATCTCCCAAACAAAGCCAAGGCGCGAACAAGCTTCAGCGATGACTAAAATAATTTTAATATACTTCTATGAATGAAACGAGGCGAGTAAACTAGGAGACACTGCCCGCACCAGCGCGATATTATAGCTTGCCTCGCAGATAGGCCAGCACCAAGCTATTACAGTACCTCACAACGCGCTGTATATCATATTCCGCTAATGCCTACTCCCTTCCCTTCGACACGCTAAACCTAACCATGTCACGAGCCAAAAGCCTGGTCGTCGCACCCCATCATGATCATGCACCCGTCAAAACAGCTTTTCCGCACAATTGCAAGTGCGGAACGCGGGACGGAGAACAGCGACGTCTCTCACGGGTAGGTAACCTACAAACCACCAGTCGGATGAAGTTAGGACGCCGCAGATGGGGGCGCGGCCGCCGGTGTGCCACCCTCGGCTTTAGCTGTCGTCTCCATCTTGTCTTGTAGATACTAGTGCGCCCTGTCTTGTCGACTCATCGTTGCCTTTGTCCCATTCAAATCGTTGCGTCACACTCCAGAGGCGTTCTTCGCCCAGCCGATGTCAGAAGGTGCCATCAAGAACCCCGGCAAGATCGAAAGAGGGGAAGTTGGAGGCCTGAGTGATGTCGAAAGCGCCGCGGCTTGGCGCAGCCCCCAAAGAAGCGGAATCGAACATCATGTCGAGCGAAGCGGGGTAGAATGTGACGTCGTTCGTCGGTACCGCATCTGCCGCCACCGATGTCACCTGCGGCGCTGTTGACGGCATCGCCCCGCTCGTGTGCCCTCCACCAGCGCTCAAATATCGCCCCACGATATCCCCCACCACCTGCCGCACGTCCGGGAGCCCAAGCGTCGGCGGGATACTATGCCAGTTCCGCAGCCGCGGCCACGGCATCGCCGGGATCGAGTCTGCGTCGTGTACCGTTCTCAGCACGCTCGATTCTGCTGCCGAGCCGAGTGGCTGGAACTGGCACTCCGCCAGTCTCGCGTCTATGGCGACGAGGAACGCCGGCCAAATAGTAACAGACCCGTCTGCGTTCGGAGTGCCCATCGAGCCTCGAGGGGGCATGCCGACGCACTGGCGAGTGGAGTTGATGTCGCGCCACTGAGGCGCAGACGAGGAAGTGAGCAGTCCTTCGCCAAAAGAGAAACGGGGGACGTCGCCGCCCGCGGACGAAGATCCGTCTATGCTATGCCGAGTATGCTCCTCGACGATCTGTTGAGCATCACGCACCAGCGGGTCGTCGAACACGCGCGGCCAAGACCACGCGAGCATCTTGAAGATGTTCAGTAACCTGATAGATCACGCACAGAATCGTCCATGAGAAAGATTTGACGAGAAGCACTCGATATCGACTCACTTCTTCAGGCTCTCCACCCTCTGCACCCTCGTGATGTCCTCTCCGCCAGCCTCGATAGGCACCGAATCCAACACCAGACCACACCAGACCTTGATAGGTTCATTCCCTGTTTTACAACCGCAAGCGGGTTAGATTCCACGACATCCCCCCTCAAAAAAACACATAACCCACCTAAATGCATAATCCATCCCAAATTGGCCGCCTCCTGGATAGCACTCACAACCTCCCTCGCATACGGCACCAACGCCCTCCTCAGCCTCCCAAACACCTCCCTGAGCAGCTGCACATTGTCCCCTCCCTTCGTCTGACCAGGCTGCTGCCCACCCAAGAAAGATTGGTTTCCACTTTCTACGCGCTGCAGCCGAGCCTTCAAATCCAGATACACAGGCACGCTCAATGCCCCGAGCGCGCTCTTCATCGCCATTAAGAGCACCCGCCCCGCATACAGCGTGTTCCGGTTCCCGGCCCAGAACCGCGCGTTGCGTTCCTCGTACGGCATGTCCGGCGTGTGCTGCTGCAGGGCGTCGTATCGCGCGTTGAGCACGTCGGGGCTGAAGTAGCCCGAGTACCGTGCTTGAATAAGGGACAACAGCGCATGCAGGGGCGACAGGTTTGCGAGGTATTTTTCTAGGAGGGACAGGGAGAATGGGAGCCCGCTGAGGCGGCCTGAAGATGTTATGCGCGTATATGGGGTAACGTGGGAAGAGATGGAGATGTGAGTGTTGTGGTTGGGATGATACAGCGGAAGGGCGATACGTACGCATCTGCCATTGCGTGCTTTCAAGAGCGAGTTGCGTGACCCGATAGGTAACTAAAACCAAAACGCGGCCGTCAGTGATCGATTTGAATGCCTTTTTCTTGAGCATGCAGGGATGCAAAAACGTACATGGCCGAACAAGCACCAGGAAACTCCCAAAGTCCCACAACGGCACATCGTCGAACGCGCCTGCGAACACCTCCTCGGGCGAGGGCGGTGGTTGGCCAGAGAGCATCGTTTCGTCGTTTATCGTGCTTAAGATCGACGATGAACGTCAGTACGTCGCCAAGTAGGGCAGGGTAACGAGTAGAGATACGCACAAGGGACAGCTTTCACCACGGGTAGCAGACATGACAGCCTCTCTCATCTATAAGAATTACGCGCAAACCATCACCAACCATGCGGTCATTCTCGACAGTGAATGGGGCGTACAATGATCACAGACCAACGCAGGCCCATATGTCGCTTATGAGGCTCTCGCGCAAACGCATCGCCCTGGGGGTCATCCCACATGCCGACGTTGGGGAACAGCTCAGGGGGCGAGAACGTGCTGCCGAACATGAGAAGCGTCAAAGAGGGTATGCGCCGCGACACAGCATACATGTCGCGCGGGTCAGGCACGCGCCCCGGCACGATGTCCGGTCCATACACAGACGCTACCATTCGCCGCTCGTATGCCTCTCGAAGCTGGTGGACAAACGCAATGCTCCACGTGCGCCGGTCCGCTGTGCTCCCGACGTCTGCCACAGTCGATCGATTACTCGTAGCACGCGAACCAAGGCGCAGAAAAGACACTCACTGTCCGCGAGAAATCCCAAAATAAAACACACAGCTAATGCTGCGGGACTGGTTTCCTGCACGACCCGCTCCCTCCACGCCCGCTCGCTCGCCATCCCCCGCAGCTCCTCACATGCCCACTCGCGCCTGCGGCCCCAATCTTCCACAGCCTCCGCCTCGACGCGCCGTGGCTCAAAATACACGGACGAGAGCGCCGGCGGCGTCCGCCCGCCGCCGAACAGCGCGGGGTTGGACGACAAGCGCGCGGTGAGAGCTGCGATGGTGAGCACGAGCGTCTGCGAGATGGCGGGGAGGGCGGCGAGCCGCCGGCCGGAGAGCTCGAAGGAGGAGATGAGGGAGACGCAGGGGATGAAGCGCCAGCGGGGGACGCGGGTGTATACTGCGAGTGTGAGATTCAATGCGTGCGTTAGCACGGATATGACAAGAGAAAGAGTTGTGGAGAGAAGAACACGTACAGTACAGCAGGTCCGCCAGGAGCGTTCCGGAGAACTCGGTATCGATGAGCCCCGATTCGGCGTCAAGATAAGGCAAAGGACTCTGCGCATACGAGTAGTACTGGACGTTGTCAAGACTCTGAGAGCTCCCAGCGGTATCGCGTATAGCTAGTGAGTCGTCGGTTTCGTGACCCAGGGCGGAAACGCCAGCAGGGAGCAAGGGCCTCAACTTTGGCGGGGTAGTCGAAGCACATGCCGGCATGATGTGGTACGGCGTGTACGCAGGATGTCGTCCAGAGGACGATGAAGTAAATCCGATCGTAAATTTCCGTGCGATGGAGCTAGAACCGGGCGAAGCAGACCCTGAGGGAGGCGTGGCGCCTGGGGTGGACGCGGACGCATAGCTTGTAGCACCATACTTCTGTCTAAAGAGCGTAGAAGGTGAGCAGAGGCTGTCTCAGGCAACAGAAACGCGAGAGATGCCGAAAAGAAGAACTCACTTTGCAATCTCAATCCGCTTCCCTGTCCTATACTTTGGCTTCTTCTTCACAACCGGAGTCGTCGTGCACCTGTATCAACACACGTCAGCACTCCCTCACCAAGAGCGACAGAAACGCGTTTCGAAACAGAGATTGCTGTGACTTACTCGAGACCCTTGGCCTTACAGCTGGAGCACGACCCAGGCGGCAGGACAGGGAAACACTTGATCCTCCGGGACTTGCACGAGTCGCATGCTGGGAGACGTTTCTCGGCTGCCTGTGTCATCTGGGGAGGCATCTGAGGTGTTTAATCGAAACTGAGTGTCTTGGATTAAGGAAGGAGGAAACTTGCAAGTGCTTATGTCTTGTCCCACATCGCCCGCAGTGTGGAGGCCAACGATCACCGTCCCCCAAGAAATGACGCCGACTCGGACTCCGGCACCAATTTCTCGGGCTGCATGCACAGCCACGCACCACTGCTCTTTGCAGCAGTCGATCGTTTTCGTCGGTGCCATATCCGCCTCAATTTCTGCACATTCATTCACCTCACTTCGCGAACTTTTGAGGGTCCATTGTTATGACAAGATATTCTATTCTCGTAGATTACAGCAAATCATACACGCCTCCGCAGCATAAATGAATAATAAGCTAGAGCACTCCCCACACCACAATTACTGCGCAGCAACTTGCACACCGCCCTGGACCTGCGAAGACGAGGCAGCGACCATGACGACGGTTGAGAAGCATTGTGGTAAGGTTATAAAACCCCTGGTTGTTCGAGTTGACGGCGTGCGACACGGCATGCACCAGCGAGACGCGAACCGCCACAAGCGCTTGTCGTATCGCCATTGTCGGGAACGCGCCGAACAAGAGGCGACGCGCGCCGGTGTGGCGACGTCGTGTCCCCCAGGGCACAGGCTTGAGGTTTGTGATAGGGGCCAGAGGGAGGGAGGAGAGGATGCCGAGTTCGGACGCGAGCATGCCGCCCAGCGAGCAGGCGAGTTGGCTGTGGGCGAGATGATCAGAATACTATGAGTTGCGTGGGCTGTAAGGTGCTCACCCGAGAGTGGCGAAGAAGACTGTGCAGCTCAGCCCGTCTGAGATGCTCGGGGAGAGCGGACACCACGCCTCGCGCGGCATCGCAATGCTCGGTCGCGCCGTGCGCGAAGGCAGCGAGCTCCGTCGTGTCGTGCGCTGCTCGAGCACCGCTCGCCCGAGGGATTTAGCGGCTGATTGGGGCCGGAGCGCACGCACCAGCCGAGGGCAATCCAGGGCGGCAAGCATAGGAGCTTTGTTTGTCTGCGCGTCCTTGACAAACTCGCCGAGCACGCCCTGCACCACGAGCGTCGCAGGCACACTCTCGTGCTGCGCACGGCAGGCGCCCGCGCGCGTCGGGGCACAACAACGGCGACTGTTTCAGCTCTGCGTCTGCGTCTGCGGGCTTGACGCGGACGCCACGCGACGATGCTGATATGGCATCCCGGGAACGCGCAGCGTCATCGACGCACAGCCACGGGTAGGGAGGCCGAAAAAAAAAACCGAGCTCGTCGGTCTTGAAGTTGGGACGTGCGTTCTGCCTTTACATGATCGTGCAGAACCGCGACTTCTTCTCCTCGCCCTGCTCCACCGCGGTCGGTAGCGCCGTTGCGGGCGCGATCTTGGTGAACTCATCACTAGCGATGTCGAGCGACGCGTGGCCCTCCGAGAACCACCCGCCAGGGAAGAAGCGCGACGACGAGGTCCGCCCTGCTAATGATTCCGTTCTCGCCGACAGGGGCGAGGCCGCCTGCAGTTGGACTTGACGGCGAGGGACTGGAATTCTGGGCGTCGCAGGGCTTGAGGGTCATGATAAGGATCAGGGGGAGGGAGAGGATGCCGAGTTCGGACGCGAGCGTGTCGCCCACACTGGCACGCGTCGTATGGCCGCCGTCGGGAAAACGCCGAACAGGAGACCACGCGCGCCGGCGCCGCGATGTCGTTGGGAACCCGCCTAACGAGACACCATGCGCGGAGGCGCACGACCGAGGCGCACAACCGAGACGCAGAAGGCCGCGAGCACGCGTCGTATGGCCGCCGTCGGGAAAGTGCCGAACGAGAGCCCACGCGCGCCGGCGCCGCGGTGTCGTGTCATCCGAGCCCAAACCAGCGGAATACGGAGGGTGAGGCGCAGCCAATGTGAGGGAGGCGCGCGCACTGCGAGTCGTGGATGCTGGCGTCGACTCGGAGCTCGTAGACGCGATGTGTCGTGGCCCAAGGGCAATGCATGAGCAGGGAAGGCAGAGGCGTCTGTGACGACTCGGAGGGCGCTGCAGGCTGACCGAGGAGCACGCTGGGCGTCAGCGGGACAAAGAACCCGCCGAACGCGATGCATGGACTTTTGAAATGGCATTGAGGTGGCTGAAACTGCGACTGCTGGAGGCTGTAGGCAGAGTAAACGTGAAGGAAGGATGATAATGACGCACTGCTTGTTGTAGATGCGTGCGCCGTGTGCGCTGGCGGCGTGGCCCGGTCACGGGCGTAGGCGGTCACAAAAAGACCACCACGCCAGTTCGATTAGCACATGATGAAAGTGCAAAGCAAGTTTAAAAACATTGTTGTGGAGGGCGAGACAGCACCTTGGCCATTGGGATTTGGCTCACGGCTAGTGCACCTTGTACAGAGTACATGTCCGTAGAGCTTGTGCCCGTGGTCAGGCACTGGGGGAATGATGGCCCCATTGTGCAAATAGGAAACATGAAGAGAGAAAGAAGACCCTGGATATTTGGGCCATCCAGTACGCATGCGTAGGGATGGGGGCCAGCCTGGGTATAGTGTGTGGTGAACGGAAGCAAGAGATGTCGCGCGGGTTCAAAAGTTTGTAAGTGTAGGTTCCCACGCTTCGTTCTCCAACAGATTCGAACACTCTATAGCTAGTAGGGGGGATCATATTTCGTCCTGACAAAGGGTGATATTCACCCGTGGACGACAGCTCAATCGAGTGACAACCCAGCCTCGGTGAAATTCAACCCATAACCCGGGGGAAAAACATTCGACCCGTATTCACCCTCTCCGCGTTTTCACCCCCCTCCGGGTGAAACAGATGCCAGCGCAACCATCCAGGTCTGCCCGCTGTGGTAAACACCTCGATTCAGAGGTCTGGGCTGATAGAAACGTGAGCGGATATTCAAGTTCAGCACAAAATTCTCTAATAGTCCGATTACACTGTAGACGCAAGCCTCCCCGGCAAGACACGCACTTCCGACGAACCAGCGGGCGAAGAAGGGTGAATCCCAGAAAAACATAGATATTAGCAGTTTATTCAAAAAGGCATCATGGTGGCGTGGTTCTCGTGGATCTAGCTCGAAGCAGGAAGAGGGGACGTGGCGTAGCAAGGATGCGGGAGGGAGACCGGAAGAACACGAAATGCGGCGTACTCAGCGACTCGTTTCCACAACAGTGTCAGTCGCTCGTATGAAGCTGGTGATTTTTTTTATTGAGAGACGGACAAGTAATTGTTGGTTCTGAATATTTCTGCGCATAGCGCATTCTCGCTGCTAGAGACCGACCGCGCACAAAATCTGGCTCTCCAGCTAGGCCGGAGTCAGACGATGAGAGCAGTTCGTCGCCGTCGCCAGAGCCAAGTGATGCCAATCGGCATGGAGGCAACACGAATGATGACGACGATAGCGTTCATGGCATAGTCGATACTGTGTGTTATTGTCTCTGCCTGCCGTGCTGCAAGTAAGATGCTCGGACGTATCAGGGATTGAGCGAAAGAAAGAAAGTGGTAATATGTATTTGTCTTTTGATTCGGTCATGATCGCAGAGCGATATAACTACTTCTTCGCTTACCTATCGTAATGGTTGCTGAAAGAGATACCTTGTCGATGTCATCTCTGCTCCATATACCTGTGCGATCCGTCTAGATCTGGGGAATGCTGGGAGATCATACAAGACAAAGGTGACGAGTGAAAGAGGGGAGTGGAGTGTTGGATATAGTTGGGACTCTCCTACACACAGCTTGCATGCGACGATGTTTCCTTTACACCTTGGCGAATATGTGAGGCGACGTGAAAGCGAGACTCGTACTTTCACTTCGTCTAACATATTCAATAGATGCTGTCAGGTCCCGTCCATGTAATGGCCTTTTGAGTGGTTTCCCGCCAAATTCGGTAAGGTGAACCATCGCAAATACGCTCAATCGCGCAGACATGGTGGGTTGACGAACCTCATTGTGCGTGCGTCATTCTTATCAGCCGAAAGACCTCGACCACAGTGACCGTCACCAAGCAGCAGGAACCTCTACCACGACTCCGCATTGTCGCCGGAGACTACCGTTCTCGGATGAAGGGGACGCCCAAGATGGGCCGTGGCAATTGTGATGGGCAAAGATGAGGGGAGATGCCAGGAGGCAGCGAAGACAATAAGGGGCGCGGGAGGACGGGCACGGATTGGCGCGTCCGTCGGCGGCTTTTGCCCCTGGGAGAGCAAGGCGTGGTCATGCGCGGTCCAAACGCGGCAGTGCTCTTTTGTCTTGACAGTCTCGGTGGACCCCGCTGACAATGCAAAGCGTTGATATGACTCTGAGACTTCGTGGTCGAAATGGTCCGTACAAGAGCGCGGGAGGGTACTTTATGTGCGGGTGGGATGGGGGCAGATACCCTCCCACTTTGCTCGTCGTGCTCAATCTCCAGCCTGCGCGCAGGAATCACTACCTAGCCATTCTCCTAGCGCGGATCCGATACGATGCAGTCGACCTACGGACGACCCCGAGTTAGCCTATTTGACCAGCTCCCCGCCGAGCTCGTCTCCTACATCCTCGACCTCAGCACCCATGCGCCCTCGTACGAGCAGGATCCCTCCCAGGGCGTGTTCTCCATGGAGAGCACCATCAAGCCCTTCGAGCTCGCCAGTTGCCTCGGCTCTCGCCTTCGCCGCATAGCCGTCGGCACCTCATCCCTCTGGACCAGCATTCTCATCACCCACGCGGATCTCTACTGCCAGGACGAGGACGGGGAGTGGATGCTCAACCCGGATCGGCTGCTGCACCAGCTTGTGCGGTCGAAGGAGCAGCCGATAGACGTGGTCATATATGCGCGGGACGAGGATGAGTGTGATCTTTCGATACACAAGTAAGTCTCCGCCTTCGTCTCGCTACGAGAGTTGTTTATCTGACGGGTGGGCAGCGATACCAACTACCGCCCTACGTTCGGGCCCAAGGCTATGCGCGCTGCACTGAAGATCCTCCTTTCGCAAGTCCGGCGATGGCGCAGCCTTGCCATTTATACCGACATGTGGGCACCTATGCACGAGGCGTTGTCTTGCCTCGACGATGTCCCCCTCTCCATTAACAACGGCGTTGTCGCACCCTTCCTCGAATCCATCACCCTCCATCGACACAACCCGTACGTCGCCACCTCCGGCTCGGGCACGTTCGTCCCGCACCACTTGCGCGATGTCTCCCCACATCCGTTCAACGCGCTCCTCGGCAACGCGACGGGTGATGCAAGACGTTTTCCACGTCTGCGCCATCTCAATCTGTACGGCGTCCATCTGAACTGGGACGCGCTCCCGGACTTGTTGCCGACCGCAATGCCCATGAGCACGTCAAGCCGCCAGGGTTTGCAGACGCTCGAGCTCGCGTACCACGCCGAGGACGTACGGCCCTCGACCGACGCGTTCTTCCGCATGCTCGGCGCCGCGCCGAGATTGCGCAAGTTCGTGCTGCGCGTGTCTGGGCCACACGAGCCGGCAACCGCTTTCGCACCCGCGGTGTGGTCGTCGCGTCCGCACGTTTCCCTGCCCCTGCTCGAAGATCTCGATATTTCGTATCTTGACGCCTGGGAGACAGCGCATATCCTCAGCCGCATGCACGCGCCGAATTTGCGGGCACTCAGCATCGAGGACGGTACGCCGGGGGACAGCATCGAGGATGAAGACGCGTCAGGTCTTTTGGGATATATCGGCGATGGACTGCTTGTCGATAACAGAGACGCCAATAGGACCTTGGTGTGGACATCCGACGCGTGTGCGGGTGCGCCGTTCCCGAAGCTCGAGAAGATCAGCCTGCGTAAGGTGCTCGCGCGAGCGCCGAGTCTCACGCGGTGTCTGTATGGGACGCGGGATCTCAAGGAGCTGGAGATGGAAGCCCCGACGCTCGAGTTTCTCGGTGCGCTGTTCCCCGACGAGCAGGGCGCTGTGCCCTGTCCGAAGCTCGAGACGCTCAGCGCGCGCAATCTGAGGGACTTCCAGACGGAGTGCGCGAGAGAGTGTCTCGCGCGTGTCTTGGAGGCGCGGCGGCATTGCAAGGCAGCGGGAGTGGAGGCGACGCTAACGACGTGTGCCGAGGAGGAGCTGCTCCGTCGTGCCGCCCTCGGTGACGATGAGGAGGAGGAAGACGAGGACAGCTTCATGGACGAAGACTACGACGCTATGGACTTCGACTATAGCGAGAGTGACGGGGCAGAGACGGGCACCGAGACGGATGAGGAATCCGGCGGTACGGACCATCACTATCATCACCTCAGCTTCGACACCAAGACTTTCTCGCAGGAGACAGAGGCAGACGCGTTCAAGCTCGGGGGCACGTTCAACGACCCAGTGTTTGACGCGCAGTACGCAGCAGTGTGGGCTGGGTTGCAGGCGCAGGTCCATGGCGGTGTGCAAGTTGCTGCGCAGTGATTGTGTGGGGGGAGTGCTCTAACTTATTATTCATTTATACTGCGGAGGCGTGTATGATTTGCTGTAATTTACGACAACAGACTATCTTGTCATAACAATGACCCTCCAAAGTTCGCGAAGTGAGGTGAATGAATGTGCAGAAATTGAGGCAGATATCCCAGCGGCACCGACGAAAACGACCGACTGGCTGAGTGGTGCGTGGCTGTGCAGACGGCCCGAGAAATTGGTGCCGGAGCCCGAGTCGCCGTCATTTCTTGGGGGACGGTGATCGTTGGCCTCCACACTGCGGGCGGTGTGAGACGAGTGCAAGACATAAAGACTTGCAGGTTTCCTTCTTCCTTATTCTAAGACACTCAACATCGACAGAACACCTTGTATGTGTCCTCAGATGGCACAGGTAGCCGAGAAACGTCTTCCAGCATGCGACTTGTGCAAGTCCCGGAGGGTTAAATGTTTCCCTGTCCTGCCCCCTGGGTCGTGTTCGAGTTGTAAGGCCAAGGGTCTCGCGTAAGTCGCGGCGATCTCTGTTTCGAAACGCGTCTCTGTCGTTCTTGGTGAGAGAGCGCTGATGTGTGTTGATACAGGTGCACGACGACTCCGGTTGTGAAGAAGAAGCCAAAGTATAGGACGGGGAAGCGGATTGAGATCGCAAAGTAAGCTCTAGCCTTCTTGCATATCTCGCTTTGCTGTTGCTTGAGGCAGCCTTTGCTCACATTCTACGCTCTTTAGACAGAAGTATGGTGCGACAAGCTACGCGTCCGCATCCGCCCCAGGCTCCACGCCTCCCTCAGGATCTGCTTCGCCCTGCTCTAGCTCCATGGCTGGGAGCTCTACGATCGAATTTGCTTCATCGTCCTCTGTACGGCATCCTGCGTACACCCCGTACCACATCATGCCAGCATGCGCCTCAACTACACCACCAAAGCTGCGGCCCTTGCTCCCTGCTGGCGTTTCCGCCCTGCGTCATGAAACCGACGAGTCGCCAGCTGCACAGGACTCGGGGAGCTCTCAGAGTCCCGACAACGCCCAATACTACTCGTATGCGCAGAGTCCTTTGCCTTATCTTGACGCCGAATTGGGGCTCATCGATAGCGAGTTCTCTGGAACGCTCCTGGCGGACCTGCTGTACTGTACGTGTTCTTCTCTCCACAACTCTTTCTCTATCCGTGCTAATGCACGCATTGTATCCCACACTCGCAGTATACACCCGCGTCCCCCGCTGGCGCTTCATCCCCTGCGTCTCCCTCATCTCCTCCTTCGAGCTCTCCGGGCGGCGGCTCGCTGCTCTCCCTGCCATATCGCAGACCCTCGTGCTCGCCATCGCAGCGCTCACCGGGCGCCTGTCGTCCAACCCCGCGCTGTTCGGCGGCGGGCGGACGCCGCCGGCGCTCTCGTTCGTGTATTTCGAGCCGCGGCGCATCGAGGCGGAGGCTGTGGAGGACTGGGGCCGCAGACGCGAGTGGGCGTGTGAGGAGCTGCGGGGGATGGCGAGCGAGCGGGCGTGGAGAGAGAGGGTGGTGCGGGAGAGCAGCACCGAGGGGTTGGCTGTGTGTTTCATATTGGGGTTTCTCGCGGATAGTGAGTCTTCTGCTCGTGATTATGGACGGGAGTGCTGCTGCTGAAGGAGGGCTGGCTGTGGCAGACCTCGGGAGCACCGCAGACCGGCGCACGTGGGCGACCGCGTTCGTCTACCAGCTTCGAGGGGTATACGAGCGACGATCGGTGTTGAGCGTGTACTCGCGCGTCACCGCTCCTGATCCGCGCGATGCGTTGGACGTGTCGCGGCGCATACCGGCTCTGACGCGTCTGACGTTTGGGAGCACCTTCTCGCCGCCGGAGTTGTTCCCCAACGTCGGCATGTGGGACGATCCTCAGGGCGATGTGTGCTTAAGCGGTCCTTATAAACGTAACATGGGCCTGCGTTGGTCTATCAACATCGTGCGTTTTGTTGTTTACCTGGAATGAGTTTGTAATTGATATCTGGCGCATTCTTCATCAGATGAGGGAAGCAATCATGTCCGCCACTCGTGGTGAAACGTGTCCATTGTGCGTGGGTTTACTCGATGCCTCACTTCACCTTGCGGTACGATGTATTGCGATGAGGCTTTCTGACGTTCTTCTTTAATCTCAAGCACGATGCACGACGAGATAATGCTCTCTGGACAGCCACCGCCGTCGCCTGAGGAGGTTTTCGCAGGCGCGTTCGACGATGTACCTGCGTGGGACTTTGGGAGTTTCCTGGTGCTCGTCCGGCCTTGTACGTTTCTGAATCGCATAGTCGAGAAAAAAGAGCACTTGGACTGTTTGCTGACGGCCATGTGCCGATTTTAGTCACTTATCGAGCCACTCAGATTGCTCTTGAGAGCACTCAATGGCAGACGCGTACGTTACCCACGTCGTTATTGCATCTCCTCTCGTATGAACTCACGCACGTCAACGTCAACGACATCCCCAGGCCGCCTCAGCGGGCTCCCGTTCTCCCTATCCCTCTTCCACAAACACCTCGCAGACCTCTCTCCCCTGCACGCGCTACTCTCTATTATACAAGCGCGGTACTCGAACTACTTCAGCCCAGACGTGCTCAACGCGCGGTACGACACTCTGCAGCAGCACACTCTGGATATGCCGCACGAGGAGCGCAACGCGCGGTTCTGGGCTGGGAACCGGAACACGCTGTACGCGGGACGGGTGTTCTTGATGGTATTGAAGAGCGCACTTGGGGCGCTGAGCGTGCCGGTGTATCTGGATTTGCAGGCGCGCTCGCAGCGGTTGGATGGTGGGAACCGGGTTCATCTGAGCAGACAGGGCCACGGGAGGGGAGGGGACGATACGCAGCTGATCAGGGAGGTGTTTGCGAGGCTGGGGAGAGCGTTGGTGCCGTATGCAAGGGAGGTTGTGAGTGTTATTCAGGAAGGAGCAAACTTAGGGTGGATTATGCATTTAGGCGAGTTCTTTTTTTCTTCCACTTGGAATATCTTGGGATCTAAAGCGTCACCCGCTGGCAACAGTGAACGAGCCTGTCAAGATCTGGTGTAGTCTCTTAATGGATGCAGTGCCCATCGAAGATGGTGGAGAAAGCATCACGAGGGCGCAGAGGGTAGAGAGCCTCAAAACGTGAGTCACTATCAAGTGTTTCTCGCGGCCCTTTTCATTCATTGACGATTATCTACGCGATCTGTCAGATTGTTGAACATCCTCAAGATCCTCGCGTGGTCTTGGCCGCGCGTATTCGACGACCCGTTGGTGCACCGCGCTCAGCAGGTCGTCGAGGAGCACACCCGAACCAGCACAGGCGGCTGTTCGTCCGCGGGCGCCGATATCCCTAACTTCTCGTTCGGCGAAGAACTGCTCAGCTCCTCATCTGTGCCTCAGTGGCGCGACATCAATTCTCCTCACCAATGCTTTGATATGCCTCCTGACGGGTCCATGGGCACTCAGAACCCAGACGGTTCTGTTACCATCTGGCCCGCCTTCCTCGTCCCCATACACGCGAGCTTGGCAGAGTCCCAGTTCCAGCCGCTGAGTGCGGCAGCGGATTCGAGTGTGTTGAGGACGGTACACGATGTGGACTCAATCCCCGCGATGCCGTGGCCGCGACTGTGGCACTGGCACAGTATCTCGCCGACGCTTGGGCTCCCCGATGTGCGGCAGGTGGTGGGAGATATTGTGGAGTGGGGTTTGAGCATGGGCGCGGGGCAGAGAAGCGGGACGATGCCGCAAGTGCAGCTGATGCCAATGACGACGACCGCAGTGCCAGCCAGCGACGTCGCATTCTACCCCGCTTCGTTTGATATGACGTTCGACGCCGCTGCTTTGGAGGCTGCGCCGAGCCGCGGAACGTTCGACATCACTCATGCCTCCAACTTTCCCTCTTTCGATCTTGCTGGGGTTCTTGACGGCGCCTTCTGACATCGGCTTGGCATAGAGCGCCTCTTGGAGCGTGACGCAACGATTTGAATGGGGCAAAGGCAACCTCCGACGAGGTCGACAAGATAGAGTGCACTTGCCTACAACACAGCACAGAGACGACAGCTAAAGCCGAGGGTGGCACACCGGCGGCCGCGTCCTTGTTTTCCAACCACACCCGCCCTTTCTCGCATTTAGCTGATTCGTTGTTAAGAGGGAGTTAAATAACTCCACACTCCGACCTTTGGATAGTCTTCTCATCGCCTCCGCCCCACCGTTTTTCTCAAGACAAGGTTAACGAGACTTCAAGCTTCAACTTCAACAGGTTGGCCGCCTCACTACGAGTTCAGCCACGGTGTCGCCTTTCATGGTAGCTCTCTGTCAAAGAACTATGAGAACATGTAGCAACATATTTCTCCGCGCCTTTCATGTGTGCAGCCCAATCCCCACCTCCTTCGAAGGGCTGTGTATGGCATCTGCCGCTGCTGCGGAAGGTGTTCGGCTTGCCACTATAGCTTGGCAATGCCTAACACGGTACCAACTTGATGTCAATGCGCGAGATGCACACGCTGGCTTCAGTGAACGTGTGGCCAACGCCCATCAGGCGTTGCGTGCCACGGTGCAGATCAAAATTTGTATGTGCCCCGAAGCTGTTACAACGAACTCTGCATACCGTAACGTTTATTACTTGCGAATGCACTTCCAGTATGGGGACGTGTAAATCGCCAGACTTATTGACTAGAGTATCGTGCTTCACTGATCCAACGTTATGGAGTAGTCCTCTCCGGATACCGGTCAGAGAATACTCTCGCCCCTTTACGTGAAATGAACAAGTCTAGGCCTCGTGGGTTCCTAAGTATAGCGTTGATGTTATATCGTCCCCCTGTTAATTCTTCGTACTACGTTCGGCGACTTCTAATTCATGAAACTACACGCTTTATGCATCCAAATCCACACGGATCTCTCTCCCCTGCTTTTCTGCAATTCCCATAACACGGCTCAGCTCGGCATGGTTCAGAAGCCAGGATTGTTCAACATGCCATGTGTCCGCGAGCGAACGAAGGTGAAGCATTGCTCGACAGACAGACAGCACTGTCGCAACGACCGCCATGCTAAACTGAGGTCACTTCTACATCATATAACCAGACTTAGTAGAGGCTTACTTGCTTCCCATTGCGACCATATATTCCTGCGGGAAAATACATAAACATCAAAGGCCGATCTAGACGTGATTTTGTGGCTTACGACAATGTTGGATTCGCTGGTAAAGGTCAACGAAACAATTGTGTACGAAAAACTAGCTAAGATTTATTCTGCGTCATGTCCGCCTCCGTCTCAGGGTGTGCACGTTCTCACTCACCAACTATAAAAAGATATATCATGCAGCCTCTAATCAACGAACGCGTAAGATCAAGACGATGCTGCTCAATTCACGCAAATATGATACACTCACTCCTTGAAGAAAAGCGACAGGAAAGTTTGACGGACAGGCTCCGATGCAACAAATAGTCTGACGATCTTCAGAAAGAAGAAGACGGTATGAACAACAAGAGACGGCATGTAAATGGTCCACAACGATCGAGGGCTCTGTGTTAACTCGGGGTTTGATATTTCAATGAGAATGAAGTGGTATTGCTGCCTAGCCACGATTGTGGTTGCAACAGCACATCCTGTGTATGTAGCGACGGAGAATGCCTGTACGGCTTTGTTCCTGGGGAAGAGATACCACACTCGCAGTCCAACTACGGCTGTTTAGAAACCTTCAGCGATACGCAGACGGTAAAAAATATAATTTCCGACCTTGAGCTGCGAGAAGGACTACAAACGCCTCGACAAACTGCAGCAAAATGGAACCGTCAGACCATTGACTGGTCAATCCGGAGACTGTTTCAGGGATTTAGAGTCCGCTTTCAGTTTTTCCTTCCTGTGCTCACTCGTCAGCAGCTTCATCCTGCGGACGATGTCAGTTAACGTTCGCGCATAGTGAATTTCATAGCATACACTGATTGGGCTATGCCACCATAGCGAATCTGAGTAGGTGAAGACTTCACTTCAGCGTTCTCAATCACGGGAGGTGGAAATTTCTTACAATAATGTAAAGAATTTTGCTCAGAGATAAGGAACTATCCCAAAAGCAAGTTACCTGATAAAACAATTAACACTCTCGTTGTCAGGAAGAAAGACTCTCACCTCGTCGCCGAAGGAAATCAGGTAATCATAGATGAGCAGAACCGACGCAGCACAGCCCGTCCACTTGACATAAAGTGAGGCTTTAGTCAGATTCAGAATTTCTTGGGAGGAGGACATTAGGGCGCGCTTTACAATACGCAGGTCCAAACTGATGTAGAGGTACTTATCTATTATTTGGACCACATGTGACCTTGTTCGCTTGCACCCATCACAAAGCTCAGTCGTTGATCATCAGGCGTTTTATAATAGCCTATAAGCACTGAAGCGTAGCGAGTTTACGATTGTCTGCGAGCGTGAAGTGGCTAGTCCTCCGAGAAGCAATGAGCACAGAAACGGCATTCGGACCTGTATATGATACACAGGGCCACGCGCTATTGGCATGTCGACGCAGGGCAGTAACAGGTGTCCAGCAATTGCCGTTCTCCGATCGTCAAGAACCAAAATCTCACGCTGTTGAGGCTCATCAATCAGTAGATGCAAATGCTGAGTTTGATGGCTGTGGCCTTCTGTGCGGCACAGATGAGATAACGACGTTCATTGAGTGAGTGGTTGGTCTGCCAGTCAGTAAAGAATATTCGGCGGCGTTTTGTAGTTTATGGTGCGCACAGAAGAATCCAGGTAGTAGATACTTTATAGGCGCGAGCTTGACACTGTCCTTGTTACAGAAGGTTAGAGATGGGCCCATTTGTAGGTTCGGCATTCTACAGTGGTCCCGAAGGGATAATCAGAGTGCGGAGACAGTGATGGAGTGATGTAGATGTAGATACCGGGATTCTATTATAAAGCATGTTAATGCTCGCTTCACTGTGGACACGGAGTGATTTCGCGAGAGCAAGGATCGAATTTCCCGGCCCTGCCGGCCCCCAGTTCCTCGAGTCCGTACCTTGTTATTTACAGACATCAGCTACATTGGACGCACTCGCCGATCCTCAGGGCATGGCTGGTCTGGTGTCACAACAAGCATCGCCCGGAGAGACGCAGTCCGTTCCAGTATGGTTTCCATCTTGTTTCGCCTACCTTGTTTCATCTGATGGATGCTAGTGCTACAGCCTTGCGCCACATATTCACTTGGACCAAACCGTAAGCAGACACCGTTCAAGGCACAGTGACAGTGCTACAAGGGACCGGGAGTAAAAAGCTTGGATCATACATTGACGGTGGCACCATCCAAGTTGCTAACGCAGCGCGCAGGCGGAGGTTGGTAGCTGATCTTGCCCGACAAGCCCAGTATCCAGAGTGATTTGGACAGGATGAAGCGCTGTAAACAGTCGCATGGCAGCCAATACGGGCTCACCGAGAGGATTGCTGTCCCAGTGTGTTTCCAGCATGTAGGATCGCGGAAAGGCGATGGCCTGATCCAGGACTCTGCGTAAGATTCGACATCTTGATATCATTCTGGCAGACTCCCTCGTCTGAGAAGGCTTGGGCAAAGTCGTCGATGTGGCAATTTGACATCCAATTGGATTATTAACCAGATAACCCCACAATCATTAACTCGACACTCACCGAGTACCGCCAGAGTATTAGTTTGGGGGTGTGGATGAATATATCGTGTCGACCATAGGCGATATATGTTTATGCCTTTACGCATTATCCGTCGAGGCGCAGATGGACAAGCCATCTTCGGAATGGGGAAGATTGGAGTTCGACCTCAGGGCCCCGGAAGCCAGACCATCGCGGATATATATCACCGCGGCACAAAGGCTTGTGCAGGCGCGTGCGTCGAGCACGCTAATACCTTGTCTCGATTAGACTTGTGAAAGCGAGTTTACCGAATGATTTGTATGTCTTTACGCATTATCCATCTTATCCCGGAGAGCAAGAAAGTCGTATCGATAGTACGCTCAAGTCCAGAATTCGGCTCGCGCCAGTCATCGCCAGCAGAACAGCATCAGTTGCGCAGAAAATGTTTGGGGTTTGGGCATCGATCACCACCTTGGTCAGCGCCACTTACCGACAACAGCTCGCAACGATGAGTGATAGCAGAAACTAGCTCTATCGGCCGAACGACATGCACTTTGCATGCACCAAGCGGGGATACGACAGGAGACCACTCAAGGTGGGAGCGGGAGTAGAGGGGCGCGCCTACGCGCCTGATGACTGATCCCGTTTCTACCATTGATTAAGCTACTGGTTCCCTTCATTCCACCGGTCATTCGGCCGTTCAGCTCACCATTCCAGATGGCAGGCAGGTCACCCGGTACAGCGCACTCTGGCAATCCCCATGGGCAAGTATAAGAGCCTTCCTCTCGGGGATGAAGCTGAGTTCTGACTCGACGTGGGTGTGCACAATCACGACGTTCTTCTCTTTCTTGGACTTCTTTCGTTATCCCACCACGCTGCGCACTCCTTATCGTTCTTGCTGTCCTTTTTGCGCTCTGGTACTCTGCTTCCCTCGCTTTTGACCTTGGATAGCATCACATTTGTAGTTGGACTTTGAACCTAAGGACAGACAGACATGTCAGGATCGAAGGTTTGGCTCATCACAGGTGCGTTCGCTCTCTTATCGTCTCAATACTCCTATCGAACGAAGCACACTCATCCTACCCTCCTTCCTCACTCTCCGTATCGCCCATAACACCCCCTCCGACGCCCACCCGGTGCCCACCATCGTACAGGCACATCCTCCGGCTTCGGCCGACGCCTGGTCGAAATCGCGCTCGCGCGGGGCGACCGCGTCCTCGCATCCGCGCGCGACCCATCCAAACTCACCTTCCCTTCCAACCCCTCCCTGCGCACGCTCGCACTCGACCTCAACGCAGGCTTCGCCGCGATCCAAGCTGCCGTAGACGGCGCAGTCGCAGCGTGCGGATGGGACACCGTCGACGTGCTCGTGAACAACGGCGGTATCGGGCTGCCGGGCTATCTCGAGGAAGGCGGGTCGGCGCGGCTGATGCAGCAGTTTCAGACGAATGTGTTTGGGCCGCTGGATGTGACGAATGCGGTGTTGCCGTATATGCGGAAACGTGAGTGGTTGGCCTTCCTTCTGATGAGGGTGAATGGGTCGAGGAGTGGGAGCGGAGAAGGGCAAGCCTGCTTGGTGATCTAGCACTGACTGGTGGTTTTGCATCACAGAGCGGAGCGGGACAGTTGTCATGATCGGCAGCCGAAGCGCCTGGCGGCCAGAAATCAGGGTACGCGCGCGTTCGCCAGCCACCATGCCCGATCTAATATACTGCACAGGGCATCGGCTACTACGCCTCCTCCAAAGCAGCCCTCCACGCACTCACCGAATGCCTCACCGTCGAAATCGCGCCCTTCGGCATCCGCACGCTCCTCGTCGAACCCGGCGCGTTCCGCACCGAAAACATCTACGGCCAACACTTCCTCTCCCCGTCCACACACCCCGCCGACTTCAGCACGGGCGGCACAGCGCGCGACATCCCCGACTACGCGGTCACGCGCGACGCGGACATCGCCAAGTTCGCTGCGCCCTCGGGCAAGCAGCCTGGGGACCCGGATAAGGCCGCGAGGGCGATCGTGGACGTTGTGAGAGGGGAGGGCGTCGCGGAGGGGAGGGAGTGGCCGATGTATCTTGTGCTTGGGACGGACGCGGACGATAATATCAGGGAGAAGGTCGGGAAGGTGATCAAGGATATCGATGAGTGGCGGGATGTCGTGCGCGGGGTTGGGTTCGAGCCTGATCCGAAGGGTCAGGCGCCGGTGGCGAACGGGCACGCTGTTGCGGCGCCATCGAAGGGGGAGGAAGAGGATAGAGAGGAGAAGAAGAAGAGGAAAAGTGGGTGTATCATTGCATGATGGTCGAACTTGTAAGGCTGATGAGGGATGTAAAAGTCTAGTTTCATGAACATTTGCTTGTACTATAAGCGGGCTTGTACCAACCAAAGCCTTTCATGGTCATGTAGAAATTTGAACATTCACTGAACTGGCATGGTCGTGACGATAGCTTCGGTACTTATTATATACTGTGAATAAATCGGTAATGAAAGCAGCCAGCAAGCATATGTGAAGAAGCTTCCAAAGCGTAGGATAGAAAAGGTGTGGGAAAAGAGCTAATGTCGGAAAAATCCCAGGAATATGGCCATAGAATTGAAATGTATTGAAATCGCCTCACAATGAATCAAGAATTAAAATACATTCCAATGGGACCCTTTGGTCACCATGATATTATATAGCTATTTTAAAGTGATTGCCATGGAATTGAGAACCAATTGAGAACACCCTTATGATGGCAAGCAGCCTCGTCCAATGGAATTTCAATGTTCGCGTCGCCTCCCAACGGGGATTGCAAACCTATCTAACACCGGACTTTCGACATTAAAATCAGCCGCGACTACGTTAATACCGTAGAGAGATCCGAAGAGACCTATTTCCATAAGTAGCCATGTACTAGCCAATTAAGCCGTGTATGCATTACTCCGCGTCGACACGCGGGCCCCTCATGCATACACTCAACCCACTAGCTATTGTAATCGTATATGCTTTGGACTTATGAGTATCACGTTCACGAGCATTTCGCCGAGCGTTTCTCCGGCGATTACTGTATTCGCCGATCTGCGAGTTCGGCCCCGGTCCCGGACTCTCAGGCCTCTCGGACATGGCCTTCACACTGCTGTATCGCCATTGTCAGACACACTGCATCGTACCAGTATTGACTGTTGGTGCCCATCATGCCTCGCGCTACTGCTGTAGCATCCGGAAAATGCTCGTGTCGATCGCATGGGTGTGGCCGTCATCCCTCGGGGTCAAAGCGACAGCAGCCGAGGACTCTCAAACGACATATCGAAGCCGATAACCTTTTAAACGCCATAGCATTGGCGCGTCAAACGCGCCAGAATCAGCCACAGGTTCGGGAGGATGACCGCGGTGAACCTAGCAGCGCCGGTAATGATCAGGGTTGGGATGGAGATGAGAATGTATTTGAGGTGTGCATCTTCTTTCATGTGTATGTTATGAGCAAGGTCTAACCCGGCATAGAGGTATGACCGGGAGATGGGAGGAGACGAGGTAGAAGCAGGTGGAGAGGATTTGCAGGTGCGTTGGTAACAGGATATATCCTTCTGCTTAAACTCACGAAAGGTCACTCATCCGAAGCTGCACGAAGAAGACGAGTTATTTCAGACGCAACATGACCCTACGCTTGACGAACATGATCAAGGTGGTCTCAGTGAAGATGACGATTTTTTCGGACGACTCATGCGTGCGAGGACACCATCACCTCCTCCCGAGGACAGTGATGATGAAGACGAGGCACCTGAAGGACCAGTCCCAGAAGGTGTCCAATCTCAGGACCTTCTCGATGAAGTCTTACATGTGCCCCTCGATGACATCTTCGACTTCTCTGATCAGGAAGACCCCGCCTATTACCATGACGAACTTCCTCGCGCCTTTCAAGATCACCCCGCTATCCGCAACGCGTACATACGCGTCTTTGTTCTCATAGTTCGCCACGGGAGCACGCATAGTGCAGCCCAATGCGTTCTCGAAGGCCTCCGTCTTACCATTACTCAAGCTGCCGCAAAGCATCCCGAGGATGAATACCCCGGACTAGACGACTTCGCCTGTACCGTACCCACAGTACTCAAACGACTTGGACTCACGATGGACAACTTCATCGTATACCTTTGCGTATGCGACAGTTGCTGGTCGGTCCACCATCCGTCAACCATACCCGACCTTGATTCGCCAGCATGTACAGTTGAAGGGTGCTCGGGGATTATATACAAGGAGAAACGACTCGCCACCGGCAAACTCAAACGTACTCCAGTCAAAACCGTGCCTTATGTCCCACTTGAACGTGCTATACAACGACTGCTACTTCGCCCTGGTAAGTGGGATCAGCTTCAACACTGGAGGGGGCCAGGCGATGAAGCGGGAACTTGTCGACCTACAACTGCATCCGGTTTCGACGCATTCCCAGATCCTTCAATGCCCATGACTGATGTATACGATGGCTGGGGCTGGAGAGCAATCCAGGCTGGGCTGGAGAGACGGCGTGGAGGAGAATTTGGTATACAGGACGTGGACGTTCACGAACTTGACCAGAGATTTGTTTCCCTGCCATGTGGTCTCGTACTTCAGTTCAACATCGATTGGTGCGTATTCTCTCCCTCTGTTCGCAATGATATTCACGTCGGCTGCAAAACCCAAACTTAGGTTTCAATCCACAAAACGCGACTGTCACTCCACTGGCGCATTCTACGTCGTCATCTGCAACAACCCGAGGGCGATTCGTTACCTCGTCGAGGAAACCATCCTTGTTATGGTTTTACCCGGACCCCACGAGCCCAACTTACAGCAGCTCAACAATCTAATGGGCGTCTTTGTCAACAGCATGATGAGATTAACACGTGGTGTCGATTTCAATGTCTACGACCACGACGTCCTTGAGCCAGTCCATTCTTTTCTATGGATGAATTGTTCAGATCTCCCCTCGCTTCGTCGCACAAATGCATGTCAAAGTCACTCTTCAAAGCTTTTCATGTGTTCTCTCTGTGAAAATACATCCTTCTCGCTCGTTCATCCCTCGTGCTTTGATCCCGCTCTGTTCAAGGCTCGCGAAGACTGGCGACATATCAAGTATTCATTTCGCTCACGTGATGCAGATGAAGAAGGACAACAGATCATTCGAGAGCATCGAGGAGTATCATGGACGCCACTCAATTATCTTGCCGGATGGCAGCCCGCCGGAAGTGCAGCCCTCGATTTTATGCATTGCGTATTTCTGAGTAAGTTTTGTCATTTACACCTTGAAAGCTCAAATCGTGCTTATATCCCGACACAGCGATGGTCAAGCACGTCACGAAGGTTATAATTTATAGTCATGGCCTCCTCAATCCTACACGTGGCGCCAATCCACTCGAGCGACTAGAAACCTTCTTTGAGGAACTAGTTTGGCCACCCGAGGTCACACGCATGCCACCCTCGGTATGTTTCCTGAGACTTGATATAGCAGTCCCACTTAACATTAGCTAGATATCCATTGGGAAAGGTTCAGTCAAAGCTGATCAATGGCGAAACTTGATCAACGTCCTATTCGTTGGCCTATATGTCGCATGGCAACATGATGGTGCCATACCCGACATCGCCCCCCCAGCCTCGGCGGCAAACACCAACATCGCCAAAACCGAAGCCAAATATACAGCTGCCACACAAGCTCGACTACGCCAATACGCACTCGCTCAAAACGCCCTAACTCCACCTGAAGTACTGGATCAGTTATCGAACGTCAAACCCGATCGTAATCTTCGGCGACATTATGATGTTCTCCTTGAGTTCACAGTCGCAGTTCGGATACTTGGTACGCGCGAGATCTCACCTCGCGACGTCCAACGGGGAAGCGCTGCTCTTTCGCGTTCTACCCAAGCTTGGGCTTCAATGCATATTCCTCTCACGCCGTACTGGCATTTCGGTCAACACCTCGGAGAGCAACTCTACAAGTACGGCCCAACGTATGGGCACTGGACGTTCCCTTACGAGCAGCATAACGCCAAGCTACTCCGGTTTAAGCACAACCATCACAAAGGTGGTGAGCTGGAGTGTACCCTCATGCGAAGATGGTGGGCAATCACATTTAATTATGAATTGGTGATACTATTCTTCTCCCGCTACACAGTTACTGATGAGGATGATAGATCTTGCAGCTTGAGGCCTTACCCGAACGCTCACCTGAGGACGACGACTCAATCAAGCTGCTCAAAGAGAGCCTCAAAGCCCGGATGGACTGGACAACATCCGATCTTTGACATCCAGCTTCTGTATTTTATGGTGATAAGCTTCTCACCTTATGTGAATGGTGGAATTTGTATGGACGGGCTTGGCCCAATGTCCGACACATGAGGACCCCACTGATCAGGCCAGGCATGGGCAGTGTGGCTATGCTTCCGCGGACTAGACCACATCCGACATTGAGATAATCATTGACGCCGATACCTGAGCGCTATCAGAAAATATCAATACCGTTAAGAGCCATTGATTAGTGTGGCTATGCTTCCGCGGACTGGACCACATTCGACATTGAGATAATCATTGACGCCGATACCTGAGCGCTATCGGAAAATATCAATACCGTTAAGAGCCATTGATTGGTGTGGCGTTGTGTCCGCGGACTGGACCTTGTCTATCGTGTGACGATGGCTGACGCCGATCAACCAAGACAAAGAACGACCATCATTATAATGACAGTCAACTCACATTGTTTCAGGGTGTCCGCTGACTCGACCCGGTCCACGCTGCGGAGGTAACAACGACGCCGAAATTGATGCGCTATCAACACATATTGCATAGTAACTCTTATACACTATTGTGAGTGTGCAACCCTCCCTACGTCACCATGCACGCCGAAACATGTTTGGACGCCAACTGTTACCAGTATTGGTTATTGTTGTATTAGCATTGGTGTAATGTATTGCGTTCCGAGAAACTATCAGTTGGATATACTGCACGCCGATATCAGCATCATGCACCTGCATAGTACATTTATAGCATCTTAGGTTGATTACGGCGGCTCCGCGGACACGACCGCATCACGTGGGGTCATTCTCCTTGACGCCGATATGGGACTCCCAGGTGCGCCTATTCTTCAATAATACTGTAGCATGCGCGCCCGCAAGTGACTACGATGTCAGCGGACGCCGATCACATATTCAACAGTGATTCCTACCATATTTATAGCCCCATCCTGTATTGCAGAGGCATCCGCGGACCCGAACCCGTCGCAGGCGCTGATGGATTGAGGACGCCGATGTCGTATGACAATCCATGATGTAGTCGACACCTCACTATGATTCACTATTAGATTTGTAGTGTACTTGTGCACACTGTATAGACCATGGACGCCGAAACCCACTTCGCTGCCCAGCGCAGTAACAATACTTCACTACTATTGTTGTAGTCAAGTGTACTTATAACGCCGCGTCCGCGGACGCGATCACTCCAGCCGTCCGCGGATGTCCGCTGGCCCGAGCCTGTCGGCGCAAATGGCCATCCGTGCTGCCGAGCATCTCCATCGGCGTCCCCTGCATACCCTGCCTTTCGAATGTTGATCTTCTTTGACGTCTTTGTGAACGTGAGGCCGTCGATGAGAGAGTTGATCTCAGCTCTCAAGTTCTGGTGCTCCTTCTAGGCATGGCCACATTCCGTGAATGGCTTAATGATATATAAGTAGTTCATGACAGCGATCCGTTATCGGCGTTCCTGTATTGACATGGTCAATGGAGACAAGGCAATGTGCAACGACATATATTTGTTGCTGGTGGCGGGAACATATACTCTGCACCTTTAAAATAAACGTTGGACACAGACCTCAGGCCAGAATGGATCAGACGTTGTTATTGCGTTGTATATACAAGTACATCGAATGTAAAAATGCATCGGCATTAATCAGCATTGATAGCGTGAAGGGTAAGCAGTCCCCCCACCCTAGATAACGCCTTAGCGTCCATTTTACGGGCCTTGATGTCAGTGGAAAGAGTGGGGAAAAGGCGGTCCAAGTCGTGTTGCGCCGCTTGCAGGTTCACGCGAACCAAGTGGGCTGTTTCCTGCACATTGGTGATTTTCGCCCTGACACCGGAAGGCAACGACTTTCGGACAAGGACTTCGAAGAAGTCTGACAAGATTTCGTCGACCGCGGTCCCCATTTCCGACTGCAGAAGCTCGACCATGGTCGCGTTGCGCCATGATCGAACGAGCTTGGTCTTCTTCATAGCAACAAAAGCCTCATCGTCCCACTGATCGGTCCCAACATTCTCGGCGTCGATACTGCTGTTTGCTCCACTGGCAGTTGACTTTTCTGTCCTGATATCAGCACAAGAAGGGCCGGACTTATCACAGGAGACTGACCCGCGTCCTCGGATTCATCGGTGTATGCTGCACCCTGCCCGTATTGACCGGCGTGCGCCGAGCCACTGCGGAATGCTAAAAGAATCATGGGGTCAAGTCATCGTCTCACAGGGATACTGGACGGCGTACCGAATGATGCACTGCGTGGGCCAGCCCCAAGCACGCCGCCTGCATGATCGCCGTATGCACCGTGGGCCTGAGGTTGGCGCATTAACGGCGCAAAGGGAGAGGAGCGGTCACTCTCGGCGTGATGCGAGCCACCCACGAAAGGAGATGTCTCAGCGGTCTGAGATGTGGGGTGACCGCCTCCCATGAGGGGGGCAAACGGAGAGGGCGCGGGTGATGTCGATACCGGAGGGTTCCCTCCCATGAGAGGGGTGAACGGAGACGCGAACGCGCCGATATCAGAAAATGGTGTCGGCGGCGCTGGTGCAGGGGACGTGGACGACGCCGAAGGTTGACGGACTTGAAGACTTGTAAACGGGCTGTCGTCGAAGGCTGAGGCTTGGGCATCCATGCTATCTGCATCTTCGTGTAAGCCATGTTGTAACCTGACCGATCACGTACTCACAATCCATTGGGGTATTTTCGGGGCGTCCCGCAGTATACCTGTTCGCTGCATCGTCCAGATCTGTGGTCGTTCAACGAGTGGGCGGGGATGGTAGGCGATTGACGTACCAAAATTGTCACTGTTGTCTTGTGACTGCATGCCGATCTGGCCTACTCGAACTCCTTTGATGGTATATACCGTTGTCCCAGGTGGTAGACGAAGTCGGCCTAGTCAGTGTTGGGGCTTTGCATGGTATGATGCATGCCCACTCACCTCTATTGCCTGAGGAGGACATTATCAGAAGTGGGAGTGGTGAATCAGCCGAACTGATGAGGGTGGGAGACGGCGGGGACGGCGTTCCTTAGGGTATAAACATATACAAATTGTGAACAATGCGCCGCCTGGTGACGGCTTCCAAATACATACAAACAAACAAACTTTTCTGCCGGACGCGTCATCAAGGCTTCTCCGCACACAGTACCCATCCACTTAGTTCGTCATGCCCAGGTTCTACCTTCCCGATGCAATCCCCCTCGAATTTGTGGATACCGACCAGGTCGACACCGTCCAGAACTTCCTGTATCTACTCGATAATCGATGGAAGCAAATGCTCATGCACGCAAGGATGGACGGCATCAACACAGTGGTTTTTGGAGAGCTATGGAATCGGGAAAGGGTGAGTTTAAGTCCTCGCGTGCCAAAGTAGGTCCCACTCACAACTTATAGGCTTCCCTGGATGAGGTCCTCCATTACCTGTTGAAGCCACTCTTTCCCGACGTCATCTGGCCTCCTTACGTGGTCACTATCTTGCATCAGCGCAGCGCAATATTTGTGCCCGGTTTCGTTGATGACCCTAATGTGTTTGGATTTGCCATGCACCCTGTCCCAGTCGTTCGCAATATCGGCGCCGATTGGTGGAAGAACGTCCCATATTCTGCCACGGTGAGGTTTCTGCGTGTATTTACTACATTCATATGCCTTCTTCATATCGGTACCGACATTTGCTAACGGTGGGCTTAGACTGATGTCCCAATGAGTGGCCCTGGCGAGGTAAGTCATTCTCATCTCGTTATTCACTTGTTAATTTTCGGACAGGACAGAGGGGATGTCCCCGAGTCGGCGTCGGCAGCTACGAACGCCGACGTTCGATCAAGTACACGCAATAGACCCGCGGACGTGGTCATCGGCGGCGACGAGGACACCCCGACCGCGAAGCCAGCCAAGCAGAAGAAACCTGCTACGCAGGAATCTGACGCCGAAGGTGACATCGACGGCCCCAGTGCCCGCAAGAAGGCGAAAGCTATGGACAAGGGAAAGAAGGCGGTGAAGGAGAAGGATGTGACGCCGGCGAAAGAGGCACCAGCGGGGAAGGAGGGCGTGAAAGGAAAGGACGGGTCGAAGACCAAGGCAGGTAGCAAGGCTGCGGGCGGAAAAAAGGGTAAGGAAACTGCACCGCCACCCGAAGATGACGCCGATGAAGGAGACGCCACCGAAGCGGTTGAAGACCCTGCCGCTTCCAAGAAGAAGGCGGTAAAGCTCAAGGGCGGCAAGAAGCCCAAACCAGTAAGGCAATTTAATAGTACAATCTGGCGTGGGGCTGAACCTACTCCAGCCCGTCGACGAATCATCTGACGCTGGCAAGAAAGGCAAGCACACAGTTCTTCCGGTTGAAGGTCAGAACACCTGGACGCCGCCGGCTGATGCGAGCGGCGCCTCTGCATCGATTGGTGGCCAGGTAAGTCACATTCACAATCAATACATAGAATCTAACTTTATTGTCATCGGCGTGGACAGGAACTCAATGTTGGTGCGTTCCTCAAACCATTCCCACCCGGCACGCCGACTCTCCCTCACATGCTCGTTGCTAGACGCTCATTTGTGCCTTCAGATTTACTCTTTGATGACATGGAGATTGGTTCAGAGGTCGAAATGCGGGAGTACCTGGAGCGGCAGAAGGTGTGGGCTCGTAACATCGTCAAGAACTCGGTGACGGTCAACACTCGCTTTGAGGGCCGTCTGGCGGCACAGGACCATCGGATCGATCAGTTCATCACGCGTACAGACGCCAGGATCGCTGGAATGGCCAAGGACATCGGGGCCATTGCGAAGGCCCAGAAGAGCATCGAGGCCTCTCTGAAAAAACTTGCCAAGCAATCTGGCGAATCGGCGTCAGGCCAGCGCGCGTCTTCGAACGTGTCAAAGGACTTCTCATCGGAGAACAAGGACCCGAACCAGTCTCGCATGAGCATTATGCGCCCAGAGCCAGGTGCGCCCAAGCAGTGGACTCTGACGCCTCCCGGGGAACCCAAGGCCCTTTCCTCAGATGTTGCGCAAGATGCGCCTTCCCAGTCCTTCCAGCAGATTGGTGATGACGCCGACGCCGACGAGAACCCCGTTGACGCCGAATCTCCTCGAAGCTCGCCTCCTCCAGCTGCAGAGCCGGCGGAAGAGGATGAGTAGTTCGCGTTGTTGTGCCGTGCATACCAGGAATCCCATATGTCATTTCTTTGTTTTATATACGCCGATCCTTATCTGTTTGTTATCATGCATTTGTACCATATTACTTGTTCGTTGTTCCAGACATCTGAATCATAGACTTTGACATGCTCTGCACTGATGTGAACAGTGTGATTTTTGTTGTGTTTGAATGGAGCTCAAAATCCTCCCATGAACCGATGACGCCGATGATAGAATTCCACCATCAACACACAGCATCCCAAATGTGCCAACTTATCGTCGGCGTGATTGATTCATGGGGTAAGAGGCTGGATTAACACCTATTCCACCCTGTGTATATCGTCTGCAGTCACGAGCTAAGCTGTGGCTTGTTGAGTTCAACCTCAAAGACGGCGTCCAGGGCAGAGGTCAAGGGGTGCTGAAGGTAGGGTTGAGAGGTAGGACGGAGAGGCTGGATGCCTTTGGATAGTTCCACCTGCCTGTGATATCTTGCCTCTCCATCCTACCTCCAGCACCCCTTGACCTCTGTCCTGGACGCCGTCTTTGAGGTTCAACTCAACCAGAAAATTGAGCTTGAGTACAGGTACATACACAATTGCAA